TTGTTAATATGATGGTGGTTTCGGTGATGATGATTTGATGATGGTGATATTGATATCGATATTGATGATGATGATGATGATGATGTTGATGATGATAATAATGTTGGTATATAGTGGTATAGTGGTATAGTATATAATGGTGGTGGTGTTGGTGAAGGTAATAATGATAGTGGGAATGACAATGAAACTGAAGATGGTGATCCATGACAATGATGATAATTATGATAAACATGCTAGCTTTAAAAAGCTGAGAAGTGCAGAAAGCATCGATTATGATGGTGGTGCTGGTGGTGGAATAATTTTACGATGTTGGTAATTTATAATCTCATTTCAGTATAGAAACAAGACTTATTGATGGGGCTGACTTTGGCGGACTGATGTATGACGTTAATTTTGGATCCAATTAAGGAATCCATCTACTAAATTCAAATTGACTCAACATATTTGCATACAATAGCATTTCCGGGACCAACATACGACGTCAACGAAACCATCCATCTTCTCCTACTTTTGCAAATGAAAGTCAATTTACCGTACTGGATTGATATAATCTAACTGTATGACCATCTAGTTCATTACCACATCACATTATGGAAGATTTAGGCATTTAACCACAGGGAAATCGATACAAGCAGGTGCTAATAACACACTAAATTAGAATAGATCGATATTTACCAGCCCTCTCGCTAAGTATTATCATGTAGCGAGTATTGTGACATCATAATTATATGCAAATTTATGTGACTTATTGGAATTATGAAAAAAGTAACGAACAACAGCTGGTATAGGTTCTATACAACTTTACTCGTAAACGAAAGCAAATTGGGCAACATAATATGGTTAGGGATGCATTTGCAAAGAATCCTTTAAAATTATTTAAAACTGGATTTGTATTATAATATATGCCATCAAAGAGCTAGAATTATAAATTGAGCAGTTTTGAATGTAAAGTTCTCCGAATTACACCAATTTACTAATGCTTCCTAGATGAAAAATAAGATACCGATAGGGTGCACTAGGTAGAGTTCATATTGCTTTCATGTACTTATGCCTCTATGTCCACATACATCCAGAGACTTAGAATTCAATTAAATGTATTCCAGTGTATGGATTTCTAATGCTCGTATGAATGAAAATTGAATCATGGAAGATGTCTGTAATTAAGATTGATGCAAGGCATTCATTTTCATAACCCATTAAGAACGCCATTTAAATAAAACTCATCACACTGTGTCACGTATCAAAAGTACATTATTTTCATGCAAACGACAATAACAAGAATCAGTTGCCCGGATGTAGGCCTATGTTGCACAAGGTCCCTCGATGCTGAAGTGCAAATTTCCAAAATTGTTGAAAGTGTAGTTATCAGCTTTTGTACTTGCATTCATCTTGAATGTGTTTACTACGTGTGTCTTGGGCAGATCGCGGATCATTCATACAGGGGTAAGGGGGCTCTATGTGGGGCAGAATGGAAACACAGCTCGTTATACGTCATAGCTCGACGATGATATGGATATTACTCGCTATGACTTGGATAAATGTCAAGTATTTGAAGCGACATATCTTGGACTTCATCGAGCTTGACAGACAAGAGAAAAGCTGAGGTCATAACGCCATTCGATGTGAATGGGACTATGGGAGAAGAGAAATAATCATTAGATGGATGATGTGATAGAAGAAATTGGAAAGGGCAGAGTGTGGGAGCAAAATACAACGATTTGCCAAGTCAATATCATTGAGCACGAATAGAGTCAACAGAATTTAGACTTTTGGATAAGAAAGGAGTTTTAAAAATGATAGAAAAAAGAAAGGGATATACATTTGAGAGATAAAGGAGGGAGGGAAATAAAGACGAGATACGAGGAAAGAGCGGAAGGAGAAAGAGCATAAGGGAGAAAAAAATAAGGGAATGTGGAGGCAAGACTTAAAGACAGAAGAAAAGGAGTGATGAGAAAGGTTAAGCGAAGATAGATAAAATTCGTTTGAATCGAACATTGTTATTTTGGCAGTTATGGATTTGTTCTGGAGCTAATGAAATGTTAGAAGAATATGGTTGAATATATACATGTAGGTGTATTGTAAGGAGATCTGCAATCGAATTTGGCGTAGGCCTACTTGACGATTAGAATGATAACTTTTTCTTCTTTTCTCTCTAATAGAATTACAGTTTTATTCATTTTTTCTTTAATTTACGTAACTTTTGAAACAGACAAAGTGGTAGAGTAAACAGGTGCGTTGTATTAGATAATTAGATTTAAAAATGACTATAATTAAATAAATTGCGTTAACAAAGTTGGTAATCACTATCGCTGATAGAAAGGAGCTTCAAAACGGTCACTCACCCCGTGCTTGTCGTATTCTCAAGAAATCACAGATTGAGACACAAAGATAATACAATCTAAAACTATTATTGTATTGCAGCGTGAGCAATGAGGTGATTGGTATATGTACTTTATATCTAATTTGGACAGATAAACCCGAAGCCTTGATCTACTTTTTTCTCGGTGAGGAGCAAGGAAGAAATTTTAATAATAAATCCTGCTTTGAATGATTTGATATTTCAAAAAGCCCTTGATTTGCCATGAGAATAGATTGAGAGAGAATATGATGAACTGTAAAAATGTATTTTTCAATTCATCAAACGTTCTGATTTGGGAGACAGCCAATCATATACTTTATGGTTCTTAGATAATATTATGGGATACACCTGAAAAGTAGTCCTCCTTACTCGCAGTCATTTTTTTCTTCAAATCAAATTAAGAGCGATTTCTTAACTAATGATAAAAAATTATACAAAAGAGAAGTAATGAGGCTAATGTAGGTATTTGGGTTTGTTGTTAGGTTTACATTTTTCAAAATACTCTGTGTTCAGTAAATATTTTAAAGTTAGTCAAGCCTAAGAGATATCAATCTCTTGCCTGGTATGTCCATTTTCTATTAGAGATTGTTTTATTGATATCAAAAAATGTCTACAAGAGGCTTTGTTATTCGATATGAATACAGAGTGAAGAAAGGTGAAGATGGATTTGGGCAAGATAAAATCTTCTTGAATAGGAGGAATTCATAGCAAAATACCAATATTTTTGTTTATATAGAACATCTGATTGACAGGTCGACAGGCGATGTCAAAGGTCATGAGAATATCGATTTCAGAAGAGGGTTTATTTCTTGCTCTTTACCTAAAGACCGAGTCTGTAAAGAAAACCCGTCCTATTGTGATCTGTATGTGTTGTAACTTGTAATTCATTACGAATTCTCGTTTCCTACACCTAACTGCAAAATGAATTAAAAATAGAATATAGTTTTATATGTAATTATGCAACCATCGCATTTAAATGTGATTATAAGCAGTAGTAATGAATTGAAGAAACTAACATTCTACAGCAGAATTTTATCATATGCCTACATCGTTTAAATGCGACGCTCACGTATCTCGCATAATTACTTTGCATTCAAATAGCACCAAACAGTTGTTGATCTATTCTTGACTGATTCAATTAACGGTGTTTAAACGTCATTGCACAGCTATTTCGAGCTCTCTGGAGGGTCTATGCCACACAGAAGACACGAAGATAACATTAATTCATTCCGAGTCGCACCATCTTTAACATGACCAACATGCATACAAGTTTTGTCGTCCTCGTTTGACAAGAAAACCGAAGATCGTTCTATTTTGAACATTCAAAATACACCATGGGTAAGCTTACCTATTCATTACTAAACTGTTCTCTATGAAAGGCTATTCAATTTGAACTGACGCCGTCTCAAAATATGATAACAGTGTATGAGAAAAAAAGTTGCAACATCGATGTTTTACTAAACGTCAGTGAACAAATGAAATATGTACAAAGAGTATTGGTTTATTATGATATTATATCTCTTGATATATTTGGTCTGAATTATAAACTTACTGTTTCGTAAACAAGAAAGCGCCTACAGCTTGTCCATAAAGTATCCCGCGAAGAAAGTTCCTTTTCTTTAACAATGCGATGCTAAACTGTTGTGAAGAGGAGAACAATGTCGAAAATTACAATGAAGTCCCAAGCTGACCTGCCGACAAAGTAGGAGAACTGAGACTGACGACAATCTAATATCAAAATCCCTTCACATTTGGTATTGATTATCGACTATGGCTTTAAAGACTTGCGGTAGATATCACGATGTGAACTGACCATTGGTCCTAATTTACACATCCAGGTTAGGTCGGGTGTTTTAGTAATTGAGAATGTATCAATTGTACGTTGAAGCTAGAATGGCTCGTGGAGTATGGTCTTAGGAAGACAGCAAGCGAAGATAGATTAGCATCCAAGGCTGCAGCACTTTCACTGAAGATAATACTATTCCTTCTTTTTCAGAAGACTCCTGAAATATTACGGCGGCTTCTTCCTCAACACCATCCCATCAAAACCTGACTTGAGGTTTTAATCTCGGGTTAAGTGATGATCTGGATGGTTATTCCAGTTACAGTCTAACCTGGTTGCTCACTTGAAGCTGAACGAGACGACCAAAGACTCGACGTCACCACCAGCATCCAAAGTAGTCAACTGAAAAGGCGACCAATGATTAGGCTAGCTGGAAGTCAGCTTGGGCGGCTAATTGAACGCACTTTAAGCTGATGCTGCTCGAGTGCGAAAGCCAACGGACGATCGCCCCGGAGAGCTAATGAGTAACACCGTATGGGGTCCACACGAACGAGAACCGCGGCGGTCTTTTTGTATCGAGTTGGTTGATGCTACTTCGCAGATCAACTAGAGATTATTGTTCGTCGAAAGAGGGCGCGTCGGAACTTAAAGCACACCACTGTATTCAGTCTGACATAAAAGTGATCGAAAACAAAAAGTTACGAACCACAGTTTGCCAACAGAATACTAAGAGCTTATCAGTACGAAAACAGAAATCTTAGAATTTCAGGAATAATATTCAGCTTACTCAATGTTTGCTTACCCTATAAGTTCAGACAGTAATCACATATACATACGACAACGGACGTAAAAGTTGTTTATTTATATAATAGTGAGTATTTATTTGTGATAAAAACATTTTAAATTCCATAAAAAAGGGCCCACAGGACCTAAATATGAGATACATTAAAAAACAATAAAGGTATATATAACATCATTAACATTTCACATATATCTTTTGAGATCAACTACAGTGAGGGTCGAAACAATTAAACGCACTATAAAACACCCCAAATCAGTAACATAACTTCAATTCAGACAATATAAAAATGACAAAGCCATCGTTGAAATCCATGATTATGACAAAGTATTTGGTGAATAAAAATATATATTAAACGATAACAAAATAGCAAATTAAAAACAAGACACATGTGGAAATTTTCATTTTCTGTACGGCAGCCGATGAAATCTCGCTATACAGAAAGCACACTGCGGTAAATTATGTACAAAGAACACATTGTCTGGGATTTGCATCTGGCAAACGAAATTTCATATTTTTCTGCTCCGAAATGGAGAAATGAGCTTAAATATAAGAAAGTCAAAGATTATTTATATGCTTCATGAGGATAAAAAAGTAAAGGTCTACTCATCGTGCTTAATTCTTTGTGTAATAGTAATACAAATAGTTACATGTACGTAGAACTGCCTTATCTTAAAACTAACTCCACAAACAAGATGGCGAGGACTTTCGTGAAATCAGTTCAAGGACAATTTATATGGCATGTATTGCCTATATAAATCTCCTTACGATGATAACATTATTCCATTGTTAATATGTTTACACATTTCAAAAAGTTACATGCATGGCTATTGAAAATGTCCTAAATTGAAGTCTTTGTGATCTTATTCAGAGTGGATCTTAAGATCACGTGATATGCTTTACAGTTCAATGGCAGCGGTTACTCAGGTTGACAACTTCCACGAGGACAGGAAAGTAGCTCATTTTACCAGGTCCTAGGACCTCGGCCACGAGCCTGACAACATCTTCCGTGCTTGTGCCATCGGTAGAATGTCCACTGCTTGTGTGTCGCTGCTTGCCGGATGCGGATGCGAGGATATTGTACGCCACAGAGGACCGTTCTGTGCCGAGGCGACGCTCAAGGTACATCTGCAAGAGTTCAAGTTTCCCGCGCAGGTCAGAGGTCAGCTCACCAGGCCTCTCCATGCCAGCGTGAAGGAACTCTGCAATCTCGAAGTCTTGCTTCATCTCCAGAGCATCGGTCCGAGTGCGGTCCAATGTTCTACCTTGAGGTTTAAACAAAAACACATTCACATCTTGTGAAGATAAACATTACGATTCAGGGGGATCGTTTCACAAAGCCTTTTTTCAATGACAAATGACAAAAATCAGTAATAAATCTGATGATTATCAATCAGGACTAAGGATTTCAGTAGCTTATTACAAAAGATGTCATTCGTCCCTGATGACAAGTTTTGTTAACCCCCCCCCCCCCCCCCAGGTATTCATTATTTGATAATGATCTCCCTTTTAATGCACAAGGTGAATCTTACTGCTGTTTTTAATGACTGGTTGAGCATTTGAGGAAAAGAATGGAACGATGAGGCTACAATTTGTTTACCAAAAAAACTATATGAAGGTACGTGGCATGGAAGTAAATACAGACAGCTAAAACTTTTAATCATTCCTTCACATTTTGTATTGCGGTGTAAAGAAACGGGCAACAATTTAGGCTATGAAATGTTTCCCGGACCTTATACCAATATCACAACAGGGGAAATTGCATTTTAGGTTATGGAATGCAAAAGGTTACCAAGAACCTTCCGGGCTATAATAATCGTAAACTAGACCCATACTAAAATCTGAAATAAAGTTTAACATCCATTTTAGCGTATGTATTACCTAAATGAACACCTTGTTCTTCTTCTGCAGGTTCGAAAAAGACTTCGTCTTCAATGGGAGGAATCACATCAGGTTTAGCTCCCAGGCGAATTCTTTTGTTGTCACTATTCTGTCGAACGTACTCACGAGACCGTCGTCGGAGTGCGTTCCTTCTCCTGAAGTTTCCAACCGATGAAGAACTTGGTGAATCAAAATTACCAGATGGCTCGGATGAAATGCCATCACCGGAAACCTCTCCATCATTTCTGTTTCGTTTCCTCTCTGTTTGGGCTTGGATTCTGTGGAAGGGAATGATGTCTGCATCGGAGTTAGACCTGGATGATGCCCGTCTACCTTGCCTACATTCACATTGGCCACACTTAGAGGGCGCCTGTCTATCATCAGAGGACAGATTTGGAAGGTTGAGAGTGTATGTCCCGTGCTTGATCCGTGTGCGAGGTCGTGATGATGTTTCAGCGGATTTGGGGAAGAGGCAAGTTATTGGAGCAGTCGATCCCTTTCTAGATCTCTGGGAGTTCTCCGCCGCTGGTGCTGTTCTCGGGATTTTGCCGACCTGATTAACAAATAAAATGGAAATGTAATGTATTGAAAAATTATTTTGTTAATCTGTCGATCATTCCCTTATCTTCCATTATCTTTATATCTATCTATCTATCTTCATTATATCTATAATTATATGTATATCTTTGTTTGTTTTTGCGCTTAGTCCCCATTTTCATATAATTTTCATCTCCCCAGGAATAAGCCCTGACATACAAGACAAATCCATGTCGAAGTCCTTTTTAACTATATTTATCTGCATGAATTGACTTCTGATTTCCGGCTCCAACGGAGATAAAATAAGAAGAAGAATTTGGAAGCATAAAATAAATATCTTTTCTATTTTGCCTACTACTTGATTGTAATGACTTTTAACAAATCAACTAAAGGCAATTTCAAAAGACCATCACCTTTTGAATCATGTGAACATTACATTGGCGTATTACGTCCGAACATGATTTGTATGGGATGTACAATGTGGTATTGAAATTGTCCTTGAGTTGATTTTAAAAATAATTGCGACTGTTTAGCACTGATTCTATCAAATTGTACGTATAGAAAAACAGACTATACAGTTAGATTGTAGAAAACTGCTTTTTGTAAACAATACCCTATGTTTCTCTCTCAACTTTGGGGTCAGAGTCGACATCACTTCAATTTTGGTAGTTGGTGGTTCACTCTGTCGCCTATCAGTCTTCGCCTTCAGCATATGTCTAGAAGACTTTCGATGCTCTTGATGAGGTTCAGGCTTCTGGAGGACCTTCTCATTCAACTTTGGATGAAGTCGCTTCGAGGTCCTGCTTTCACTTGAGAGAAGCCGAGAGAGTAACTTAGAATCTTTCACTCGTTCAGGCAGTGATTGTCGACGTTTCTTGGATGGGATTTTAGATGACATGTCAGATGAATGATAATGAGACTCATACGCACTTCCATCCATCGCTGGAGCGCAAGACCTTCTTTTTCTGGATACTGTAGAGGGCGTCGCATCTAGTTCTTTTCTACGAGACTTTTCCATGGAAGCATTTGAGTTTTGTCGACAACACGCTCCATATCTAGAGACGCCGTCAGAGATGCGCCCTTCGCGATGAGCTGCTGGTGTTTGTGGTTTCTTGGATGATTTCCGTTGACTCATAGCTCTTGCAGGTCTATAGTGAGAAGGCATGGGCGCATCGCCAAGATGGATTGGTTCGCTTGCAGAGTAGAGGTGGAAGATTCTCGATTTCGCTTCCGTTGATTTCTTTGTGACCCTAGTCCTTCTCTTGTCCTTAACCATCGGAGAATCCGTCCTTGGTTTCATTTGTCTGCTTTGTCCTTTGGGATTGTCAAAACATGGCTCTGGTTTTTGGAACCTTCGGACACGTCTCGAAGCGTTTTGACGTTGAGATCGTGGGGTTATTGCGTAAGGAGAGTTCATAGACACAACCTGAAAAAGACCTTCGTCTTCCTAAATAAAATAAAGAGGCAGAAAAATGAAAATATAAAAGTACCAGTTCATGGAACTTGAAAAATATAATTCGCAAACATACTGCATTTTTGTTGTTGGTTTAAAGTCTCCAGAAATGAGTTCGGAGAGAAACAAGGACCAATAAAGAGCAATTATTTAGTTACAATTATATATACATTTGATTTGAATAAGAAATGATTCGCAAGACTTTATTTTCTCTATCCTACATGTAGCTTCTTTCTAGACTTACATATTTCTTGGATTGAGTTTGACACACTGTCTCGGGACTTGGTGCGGGCGAGTTAACTAGGAGTTCTCTCTGGTCAGTGAAAGCCTTGACGAATGGTCGCATACTGTGTGAGGTGAGAATGGCATGGGCTGATGGTCGCATACCGGGATTCACAGATAGAAGTACTGTCACCAGCTCCTCAATGACGGTTCCGTAGTTCCTTGAAATAAAACATGGTTACAGAGAAGCAGTGTGAACAAAATTGACGAATATTCTAAGCCTTTCCCACATAAATGGGAAGATCGTCTGTTCCCATATTCGCTTGTGCAGCGAGACATAAGGGGGGGGGTACATATTGAAACATCCCACTTCTGCCCAAACAACTGCATTACAACGTACATTAATTTGCCAAAATCTCAAAATGGTGAAATATAACTTTGAGGATAGTTCAACTTTGAAATATCTCGACAAGAAGAAACCCCCTCTGTCGTTCAGATGCGAATTAGAAATAGAAGATAGGGAAGAGGATATAAAGTCTAAATGCTGTGTGGTAACACGATCTAGACGGCTAAGTGCATGTATTGACTAGTTTCAACAACTGAATGGAACACTTCCCTTTCCTTAGTCTCTATTGATATTTGTATAACTTTACCTATTGATGTATTTTTTATATGACGATGAAAGAATAAATGAATTGAATTGAATTGAATTGGAATGAAATAAGACGGTACAAACCTTGGAATAGGAGTATACAAGCCCCTTAGAATACGCATGATGAGGGTTGGGAATGCATGTCCTTCGAAGGGGCGTGTGAGAGTGACTAATTCATAGAGAATACAACCTGCTGCCCACATGTCGCTCTTCTGGTTGTATCTGATCGAAAATGAAAAACATTGTCAAGGAAGACTCATTTTATTCTGGAAAATGCAGGAAGTTTCACCGACTTTTCATTTTCAACATATCCAATCGATAGGCAAGCGAACTACATGATTTCATTGTTCTGTTATTGGTGTTGTTTCTGCCATGCTCCGCGTGCATAATTGTCAAGGAAAACTGATTTTATTCTGGGAAATGCAGGAAGTTTCATCGACTTTTCACTCCCACCATGTCCAATCGATAGGCAAGCGAACTACATGATTTCATTGTTCTGTTATTGGTCTTGTTTCAGCCATGCTCCGCGTGCATAGTTTCATGTTTTGCGCTGAAAGATGAATTTAACAGTAAAGTAAAGGTTTTGATATTGATTTAAAAGGTCTTTCCAACTAAAGCTTTGTGCATGATATATCTACTACTTCATCTGGTACGTCACATTTTCGAGAAAATGGCTGCGCCCAATTCATACTAAAAGGCATCACATCATGCCAAGAATATCTTTATTTATTTATATATCTCTTGCACATTTTCGTAAGGAATTTGTATATCAAAGGGCAGGAATACATCTCATATACGACACTCAGCAAAAACCTTTTTGGGGTCAGAACAAAATCCGCATCACCACCAAGTAGCACACTGCAGGAGCGGCGGAGCGTCTTCCAAAATAAGGGGGCATCAACAAAAAGGGCACTTTCTGGAAAAAGGGGCACCTACAAAGGGAAACATTAAAAAAAACATCATGTAGTACAACATTTTTAGACATTGGTATACACCCCTACCTACATCGTCATGATTGTGATTACACTACCAGGGATAACATCAATAATATGTGTTTCTTCCTTTAAGTGGCACAGGATACTTTGTAGTTGGGTGTGATGGTCTGTATATTCATTTTCGAGCGAGCGAGCCAACATTTTATGATTTGCGAGGTCCCAGTGCGAAAAATAACATCTTAAAAAGAAGACGGAAAACAAACCCTATATGAGAAAGAAGCACAATCTAAAGAAGAAAGCCTGGCAAATTCCGTTATAAGTAACATAATTATAACATCTATAAATGTGAGCGAGCGTAGCTCCTAACTACATTACAGAATTACTTCAACTCAAAGTCCATTCAACAGTCGTAGCCTGCGCAGTTCCACAAATAAATTATTGTTCAGATTCCCCATGGCAAAACTAAAGTAACTCTCGGGGACCGTGCTTTTGCTATTGCTGCCCCCAAACTATGGAATAGCTTGCCAATAGAAATACGAAGCACTCCATCTCTCAATGTTTTCAAATACAATTTAAAAACTTATTTGTTCAATTGAGAGATCTTATTTTGTAGGATTTAGTAAAAAGGAGCTCTTAACCAGCGCAGCTGAATACATTTTGTATAAAAGCTGCGCTATATAAATGTATTATTATTATTATTATTATTATTAGCGAGCGAGCGAGCTCTAGGGAAAATTAAAGAAAAGGTGCTCTAAGTACCGTTGCCTTGAATTAGGGGTGCATGTTATGGAGAAAGGAAAAGTAGGCACTTATCAAAAGAGAAAAGGACAATTATTAGAAATGAAAAAGTGCGCGTGTCAATGTAAAAAGGGCAATTATCAGAGGTGAAAATGGCACTTCTTGCGCCTGAAAAGACGTACTCACCAGAGATGGACAGACAGGAAAAGGACAGTTATTAGAAAATATAAAGGAGCACTTGTCGTCTGTAAACAAAACTGGACCTTTTGGGGGTACCTGAAAAAGTGGGGGCACAGTGCCCCCCCCCCCCATCCCCCCCCCCCCCCTGGGAGTTCCGCCTCTGGCATAATGGGCAAAAGTGAGAAAAAATGGAAAATCATGTCATTTCAGTTACATTGGGTATCGAATTAGAAATAAACCACGTTTGAAGTTTACTTGGGGGGGGGGGTCAACTGCCCCCCCCCCCCCCCCATCAGCACTCCCGTGAAGGCACTTATTCTTTGGGGTGTGGTTTCCTTCGACTTCAGTCCCTTTATCATGAGAGACAAATTAGATTGGATTACACAGGATAGATTCAATATGATTATATTTACCTTTTCCCCCAATGATCTATGTGATATACTTCCTGTACTGTACTTTCTTGTCCTCTTTACATATATTTGTATTTGTAAGCGCTATGGTACTTATTGTTTTTAGCGCTCCTAAATATTCGATATTATTATTATTATTATTAGGTTCATGAGAGTACTTCGGTATTAAATCGCTATTCTCCATGAAGGTCAGAATCCGTCATGGGGGATGCCATTTCTAGTTGAACTATAACTGGAGCATATAACACGAGTCAACAAGATGGCCAGCTAAGATAAGCAAAAAAGGTTTATTGACTTGATATATTTGTTCTTACATTTGTCTTCTTGAAGTGCAACCGACCGCGTTGGGGAGCGGCAAAATCTACGCACGCAACAGATTTACACTCGAGAGCACAATTTTTATCAGGGTCCTGAGATCGATAACAGATTAATGAATTAAAAGTGTTTGGGTGGATTTGAAAAAGACAAAAAAAGGAAAGGTGAAAGGATGTCGAGTAGAAAGAAGATAAGTCCTGACCTTACAATGATACATGAGTTGATTAAGTCACCCTCGTTGACGATGTTAATTATTATCTCCCTTTCTATCACTGTCTCTGGTGTGTCTCTTTATCTCTCTGTATCTCGATCTACCCCTCTCTTTGCATGTCTCTTGTTCCTATCTCTGACTTTGCTCTCACTCTGTTGCTCTCTTCATTTCTTTCATTCTTCCTTTTCCCTGTAATACCTGTTAATTCCGAATTTTACACGACACAGGAGGAGTGCAGAGTTACAAGAGTAACATAAATTGACTATGAATATATTATCATCAAACCATTTCGATTTTTAAAAGAATTGTCCTTTACATTTTCGTAAATATATGCGGAAAGCCAACAAAATTCAACCGATGTAATCTTTATCCTCTTCACAATGAGATCATGCGATGGGCACTCTAAAACTCTGATTTTTAGCATGAAGTCATCGTCACACGATACACTTCAGGGAATAGTATCTAGACACAATAATTATAACTAAATCGTTAAAATCTAGCTTATGCTACGATTGTGTTGCTAAAAACCTCTTACACGAAAACTGGCGTAAATTGGGTCCAGCCATTGGGGGGGGGGGGGGGGTAGAGGGGCGGCACAGGTGTCAAATTGAGTCGGGGTGGTAGCCGGTAATATTAACTTGATGAAGTGCGAGAGAACACATAGTGAGAAGAGAGTGTGTGTGTTTGTGTGTGTGTTATTTACCCTCTGAGCTTTTGATTATTAAGGGCTTCGCCAACCCGGTTCGAGTAGGGTACAATAAGGCGGATATACTGCTTTGTTGGGCAAGCGCAAAACCAAAGAATATACGGCATGTTGGGGGAAAAGGGGGAAAGGGGGGAAAAGGGGGAAAGGGGGGGGGAAGGGGGAAAGGGGGAAAGGGGGAAAAGGTGGGAAAGGGGGGAAGGGAGAAAAGGGGGGAAGGGAGAAAAGGGGGGAAGGGAGAAAAGGGGGAAGGGAGAAAAGGGTGAAAAGGGGGAAAAGGTGGAAAAGAGGGAAAGGGGGGAAAGGGGGAAAGGGGGGAAGGGAGAAAAGGGGGAAGGGAGAAAAGGGGGAAGGGAGAAAAGGGGGGAAGGGAGAAAAGGGGGGAAGGGAGAAAAGGGGGAAAAGGGGGAAAGGGGGGGACAGGGGGAAAGGGGGGAAAGGGGGGAAAGGTGGGAAAGGGGGGAAGGGAGAAAAGGGGGGAAGGGAGAAAAGGGGGGAAGGGAGAAAAGGGGGGAAGGGAGAAAAGGGTGAAAAGGGGGAAAAGGTGGAAAAGAGGGAAAGGGGGAAAAGGGGGAAATATAGGCAAATATGATGCATGCTCCCCCTCCATGTGTCCCCTAAACGCTATCCCAAAGCATTAACGCATACATCCGCTATGACGTATGAACACTATATCATCTGCATCGAGTTGCAACTTGTTGCTTTGGCCTGTTCTATCTATTTTTAACGAAGAAATGTCTGACAAAATTAACTGATTGAAGCCTGAATAATCAATCTCATTTCAAAAGAGGAGCGATCCCTGAACTGATTCAATTATACACACACAATAGGCCCCTTCGTTCTGCAAATCAAACTCTCTTAACCGTTAAAAAAGCAAAAACAAAATACTTTGGTGATAGGTCCTTTTCATGCTCTGCTACACGTTTATGGAATTCTCTCCCAGCCTCCATTCGTTGCATCTCAGATATTACTTTGTTTAGATCAAAATTAAAACCTACCTAATGGAAAATGCATACTCAACCTAGTTCTTAAATTGTTACCTAGTTCTTAAATTGTTACCTTACCTTGTTATCTTATTTTTCATAATTTCACTTCATATTTGTTTTCTTGTCATTACTCTGTTTAGTTTTAATTGTATCAATATTATAAAGCGCTTTGATATAAATGTCTTATGAAAAGCGCTATATAAGTAAAAGTTATTATTATTATTATTATTATCCCAAACAAAATGTAAAAGAAAAGAAAAGGCAAAGTTTAAATGGTACATGCCCATCAAACGGATCCATACCAAATACCGATTAAAAAAGACTCCAGTATTATTTCTGCTTATCAAAAGAGCCTTCCCCTTAACGCCCGGTATGATACACCGTTGCCAAGACAACGGTTTACAACAAATTATGGCTTTACTCTATAGTCTACGCTGTTGAGATCTATAGTAATATTGGCAAATCAACGTTGTCATGTACTAATTCGAAATACATGAATTGAAATTGAACGTGTCAGATAACGAAGGGATAATGGGTAACATGATACCGTGCACATAGCGGATGTGAATTAATGAATGTAAAAGTCCGTAGGGAGTGAGTAAAGTGTACGTCGTTATTCTGTCATCGTAAAATGCATGAATACATGCAAAGGATGGGTACAATCCAGAATCTCATCGATTATGTATCTTAAGGATACCTCTTTGTTGTAGTCATTATTATTTATCAGGTTTTCGAAGAAAAGAAGATCAGCACCTTTTAACCTTTGCGGGCGCCGAACGAGAAAGATTCAGTTCTTTTTTGCACGTACGGCACCCACTTCAGCCAAAGGCTGTTCTTCCGCAAAAAGACTTGACGCATGGCTCATCGTCAACGAAACGGAGTTAAGTCATTTGTCAACTCTGTTTGATGCTACGGCAGGCAGCCAATGAAAATGAGTTCGTTTAATCAAATTATTGAAATGCAAGCATCACTTTAAACAAACAGAACTTTGTTATTCCCGGCTCATATTTCCTGATTGAGGTGTCATATGAAAGGGCAGCAAATGAATTTTCTAAAATTTGATTTTCTCTTTGAAATTCAGATACCGCCCGCCAAATGATTTTTGGTACCTTCTCTTCAAATTATTTTTAATCACTCATGCGTGAAATATGCATCATATGAGTTGCATCAAATGCAAGAGGAGGATCTAAGCTTTACAAATATGTGTCATTTATTAATCATCATTGTGATTAAGTTATGATCAAACATCGATAACTCTCGGTTTCGTTTTTTTCTGGGACGCACTGTATAATAAGATGAGATTTTTCTTTTCTTCTTTTATCCTAGGGAAAAGGGGCGAATAACGCAATAGTCATAGAGACAGCATCACAGCAAATTATTTTTAGAGGTTCTGCAGTGTTGTAAAACACGTTGAAGAAAAACAAAATGTTTATAGTTATTGCCAGTTAGGGCTTCGAGGTTATTTATTGAAGAGCGATAGACCACGAATGATACAAAATCATGTAAAATGTACAAAAATGCTTCAAACAAGCAATATGTTGTATGAAAAATGTTAAGTTATATGCTCAACTGTACACTAAATAATGGTAAATTTTGTTTGAGACTACATTTAGGGTTCCATATCTTAATGGCATAATATTACAGGAATTATCTCATTGGAAGGATACGGTTGTTTTTGGCAGATTTCTGGTGATAGGTAGTAAGGAGTCCCAATTGTAGTACTGGCGTGGTCCAGAGTATGTTGTAACATCTTTGAGATTCCGAAGTCACCCACCTTGATGAGGCCTTTCGATGTTAGAAACAGATTTGATGGCTTGAGGTCTATCATGAAACCATCAAGAAATACAGAGGAAGGAGAAATTCATTATATCCTTTTTTCTTAAATTTGTGTGTATTTGGTGCATTTAATTCATCACCATCTGTGTGCTGGTTAAATAGTTTGGCGGATAGTACAACGGTTTGCCAATTCTGCACATAGTGATTGGTTCGACATACAAGACTAAGTAGCAAAGCCTGAAGAACCAAAACAAAATATGACTTGGAATATTGTATAGCATAATAGGAATGTAGGGAAAGAAACGGAGCATGAGAGAAAGAGGGAGAGAGAGGGGGAGAGAGAGGGGGAGTGAGAAAAGAGAGACAGAAAGAGAGAGAGAGAGAGAGAGAGAGAGAGAGAGAGAGAGAGAGAGAGAGAAAGAGAGAGAGAGAGAGAGTAAGAGAGAGAGAGAGAGAGAGAGAAAGGGGGGGGGGTAAGGTAGTAATGTCGAGCGGGAGGGATAAACGTGCAGCTCGAATTGTATGAAACTTAACTTACTAAGCCTTCATAAAAAAATTAACATATATCATGATCGTTTTGCCAATTTTGATTTTCTTTCATTATTATTAAAGCTTTATATCACGCGGCACATTATCTGTATGTCTATAAATAAATAATGTTGTTCATGCGCGTGATATAAAGCTGCTTATATCATCGCTAGCTTTTATGAAATTGTCATTAATTACAGATCAATATCTATATTTCAAGTAAATACAAAACATGTGCCCCAAAAACGATATGCCACTGTACATTCATGCTCTCATGATTGTTTTTTGTTCTTCTGATTTACAAACACTCCAGATACAAGAACAAGATGGTCATAATAGTTATGGTAATGCTAATATAATTCATTAGGTCTTCCGGTTTTGCCAGACCCGAGTAATTCTCAAGCAAAGTAACTGTCAACAAAAATTTGTAAAAGAGAGTTAGGTCTCCATGTGCGGCAGTATCAAAGAAATTAGAGCACATTTATGAGTTTTACATTGAGCCGTGTCCTCAATAGGCATCGGGTTAAATGCTTATTTGAATGGACATGAATAGGAAACACCAATATGGAATCTAAATGCTTGTTCAGATGTGAAGCGGAAAACCCCCGGCAGTATTAGCGACTTTTCGATTTGCACGTCAACATAGTGGACTGCTACGTGTGACTTCCTTTATGTTATTGACTATACGTACAAATCAAAAATTGCCTAATTTTATGCCGTAAAGTGTAATATGCTTCACGTTTCTGCACAGAGCTTAGTGATACGTGCAATTCATTTGTTACACTAATTTGGCATTCATTTGCACATTTTAAAAAAGAAGGGGGAAAGGAGCAGGGGGTGCGGCGGCCTTTTTTTTGGCGGTGTTTTTCAGCGCCATGTTGACCCTATGATGATTCATAGTACATAAAGTGGTGCCAGAAAAAGGGGATAAACGAATCATTTTTATCGAAATATAGCCTATAGATAAAGGTTTTCGTACAGCCAAAACGTAATGCTAAGTATACAAAGATTTTCGTTTTCCAACATTAAAAAGCTGACTATTTATGGAGTATAGCATTTTAAAACTAGATTTCTTCATATTTCATCACCTTGTATTTCTTCTCACAAAGTCATGACTTCAGGATTTCATAAAATATTGTATGTTTCTTCTCAATATTACGTGGTGTCATCTAAGTTTGAAGATGTTTCTTACATGTAATATCATATCACCTTTCGTCACGTTTGTATTATGTGTATGGTTTCAGTTTTTTTCTATTTTGTATGATATTCCATGAAGTAAAGTGAAATATGAAATGACTGAAGTTAAAACTACTCACCTCGATGTAAGACTTTCTCAGAATGCATATAGTAGAGGGCGAGGCAGAGTTGCACAAACCAGTTCAGGATTTGAGGGGCACTAATACTCTGCCCCGACAGTTTGGCTTCCTCGATTTTCCTCGCCAAATCTCCTACAATGATTATTAAAATATTTTTGGTCAGAAATGTGAAAATGAATCAATGTAGCGGGTCTCGGCATATGTTAACATTTAAAAATATATATATATATATACTAAAATGATAAGGAAAATCTTGGCAAACAGTATAGCGTGGGCCCAGACCAAATGGACTAAAACAAACACTTCCCATCAACTATTATTAAGTTGAATTACGTAGTCTTATATCTTTAGTATCATTATTATTGTTATTATTATTATTATTATTTTCATTATAAGTCCACTTTTCATTCATAAGGTCACATTTTCTTTAAAATGTCCATAGCTTTTTAATATCTGTCAATTTCTCGCCAAATTAGATATGAAATGGAAAATGCTTTACTAATTAATTGTGGAAAAATGCAGACCTTTCGCAGATAAGTAAAGGTTTCAGGACAGTATTATTATACTCAGAAGGGTTATCGATAGACGGAGGATTTGCACCCTGGCACACATAGGAGCATCACTATCCTGGCTGTGTAGTAAAAGTTGTGCTTTTGATTCTCAACATTTCAAACACCACTGTACAAAACTCAACTGATTTCACTCAAAATCGGTACTTTAGTGACAATTGATGACACCTAAATAGCAGTAAAATACATTTTTTTTTAACTTACCGATGTTAAAAATAATAATTTAAAAATTCAAATTGTAAGTCTAGTGTCAAACTTTGCTTACAGCTGCATCGACATGATTGTGTACAGTCTATGCGATTTTGTGTGGTGTGTGTATTTGTGTATAGACTTCTAGGTCCCTGCCTCACAGCATGTATGCAGTGCTAGAGGTCAATACGCATTAGCATTGACTCTCTATGCTTTGCTGGAGTGCACCCTGGAGGCCTCGCCCCATCCTCACCTGAAAATTGGTGCCCATGTAGGCCCGGTGGTAAATTGCCCCAATTGCCCCGATTTACCCACAGATGGGCGTCAATGGACCAAACTGTGTTGTCAGTCCCCAGTACAAACCCAATTTAGTACATACCTCCATCACCATACTCCATAACGATAGCTAATATCCCGCCTCCCCCGGCAACGAAAGCTTCCCGGTACCGTATGATGTTCACGTGTCTCAACCGGCCCAGAATAGCGACCTCGTTGACAGCTCTTTCTCTCTCCTTCTCGCCCATGCACACCACGTTGATCTCCTTGATGACATAAGGTCGACGACTCTCTCGTGATCGTACTAACCATGCTTTCCCAAAATTCCCCATCCCTAAGACCTTTTGGTACGAGTATTTCTCCATCTTTATATTTCTTGTGGCTTTTAGCCTTTTAGATATGCTGCGTCGCAGTCGCGATCGGCTTTGCAAGAGGTATCTCCCTTTAGTCAAGGGACAGAAAAACGATAAAGACGAGATCCAAAGAGTAGTTGACCTGAAAAATTCCTACTCAACAAAACTGAAAAGACCTTTTGTGTCATGTAGTGTTCATGAATTAACAGTAACATGTGTATTCAATTGAGTTAAGGTATTCCACTCGTAAAGAAGACGTGTTGTTAAGTAGGAGAATCCATTGTGTTTGTCCTACCCAGCAACGATTAATGTATTCAATACGCATTCTGACTATCAAAAAACAATTATTCATGTCAGGTGAATGACATGATTTGTAACGAGGCACTTAACAAAGATTTGTGCATTAGATTTGATTCCATTACGAAAATGGCCTCTTAATGGCTTGCGTAGCTTCAATAGAGACTTTTCGATTTGTACGTCGACATAGTGGACTGCTACCTATGACGTCCTTTTAAGGCACTGCCAGTGCAAATCGAAAAGTCCCTGTTGATGCCGATTTTTAAACAAAAGTTTGCACTATGCCCCTGCGTCAGGACGTTGCGTCTGTTCCATTAGAGACTACGCCTGGGCCTGTCCTGTGTATGCATTTGCGTGAAGGGCCTTGAAGGGAAATATTAACGCCTCGTATACAAACGGCTTTATAGTCCATTGATGACGGAGCGTCATTTGGCTGACGTAGAACTGCGCCAATGGCTGGTGCAGCCTTTGGTGCGTCATGGGGTGGTTACATCGATTCAAAAGTTAATGCAAAATTAAAAGTGCAAGTCATGCTTTTAATTTATAGGCTAATTCCCTTCAACGGTTCGATTAACTCAGGTGATAAAGCAATCAAAAAGTCACCTCGCGTAATTTTGACTATCTTTTTTTTAAACAGAAGCTGAATGTTGTGAGTTAGTGATGTATCACTGCATACCATATACTCTCAACAAAATCAATGCAAAGTTTTCATAACGATTCTTTAAATCAAAAGGCGAAAGGAAGCGTTTCAATATCACTGTGGTATAGGGGTTTACAGGTTTCGACGTTTTCCTTAAGTTTAGAGTCCACTTCAGAAAAGGTGCAATACGCCAGTGGGGCTTATTTCGGAAAATGTGCGATACATACGCCATTAGGGTCATTTCAGAAAAGTGCGATAGATACGCCATTAGGATACATTTCAGAGGTTGATGGACACGGATGGGTAGCACTTGTGTATGAGAGTGACCCCCTCCCCCTCCCCCGGGATGATAAATTACAGTAGCGTTGTAACTATGGTAAGTAAGCACATGCCCCCATTAGAATTTCAAAAAACAAATAACGGAGGGGGTGGGACAACAGTACATGCGATGATGGTATAAGAGATCGTCACACACCACCCCTCATCATGTGACCTTGTTCTTTTACATTTCGTATACCTTAATTAAGATCGCCGCCACCCGTTTCACGATGCTAGCCTATTTGAAAGTGCATTTTCATAAAACTACATGTCAATGTGCACTCGCTGTTAAATTCCATGCAGGCAAATATACGGTCGCATGTTCTAACAAGCCGTTTCCGATGTAAGTGAATGAATGTAATTTGATTATATTGTGCCTTCTCATGCATATCTCCTTTCTGGTGCGCATTTCTCTTTCCTCATCTTCTTCTCAACCCCACATGCCAGGCGCGGATCCAGGATTTCTTAGGGGAGGGGCCCAACTTTCTTATTATTTTTTTTGCTCCCGAAAATTTGAAAATCGCGCCGGCCGAAAAGTCGCTCAGTGGGTTGGGAGGGGGGGGGGGGGGGGGGGGGAGGGTAGTAAGCACATTTTTTTTTTTTTGGTCCTCCAAAATTTTAAAATTTGCACCCCCCCCCCTCCCTTGAGCGCCAGGGGGGTGCAAAAAAGGTAAAAATCACGTGATTTTACATGATTTTTTTTCTCAAGGGGGGGGGGGGGGGCGGGCCCCCTGCCCCCCCCCCCCTTCCTGGATCCGCCACTGCCACATGCAGCTCATCATTTTGTATTATTTTCTGTACCCCCGATCTCTCACTTCTTTTTTGGCATTGTATACTCTTTGTATTATGACCGTGTTATTCTATCTTTGTCATGTAAAGCACTGTCTTGTCCAGTTCTTGTCTCTGTTGGCATCCCCTCTTTCCCCCTGTGTTGTAGTTCCTTTTGTAGTTATGGACTTGTTAATTTAATTACTCATTATTCCTCAGTATCATTTGAGGTGTTCACACTTGTACAAGCATTGCTTTTTAGTGGATCCTTCTGTTTCCAGCATGTATTTCTACATTTTGTTGTAAATGTTTATAGTTGATTTGTAATGTTCTGATGGAAACATGAAAAAATTGAAATTGAAATCGAAATTGAACATTGATGAAAACTTACTAAAAATATTCCATCTCAGAATGACGCGGACAAATAAAAGATCTGGTAAATCACATTGCAGGAAATTAAACAGCTAAAAATATACCACACGGCCTAAAAGGTTTCATAGTACTATAAAATAATCAATTTTGCGTTAAAAAGGGTTTTATTTCTTTGTGCGCTAGACTATGCTTTAAACTATGCTGTAAACAGAGCACTGTATAGATTGATATTAGTGCAGTGCTTCTTTATAAAAATTGAAAATGTCACAAATCATTTCCTCGTCCAATCCATTCAACAGATCAAATATAAAACTCCTTATTTGATTACTTTTGGCAAATCAATTTAGCTGTTTAATTCTCTACGTCACTTGCGGCTTCTCCGGCGCCTGCTATCGCGCTCAAGCATTTTACGAGAAACACTTAACTACAATTCAAGGATAGGATTTTTCCTAATAAATAATATAAAATACATGTTGGACAAAATGGATTGATCGAGACTAAAGTAGCTTGGAGGTTATACCATGTATACCTTCGAACTAACAAATAGATAACTAATCTTTTCTTGCCCACGCAGAGTTAGTAAAATTGCTCTTTCGTCCAAATATTATTATTTTGCTAGGGGGCAGGGCCCGTCGCACCCCCCCCCCCCCCATGGATCCGCGCCTGTTTGGTTCTGTGTATGAACACGAATTTTGGGCGAATACTGTCCTGGTTGTCTTTCCAAAAAAAAGGGTTAGTATTTGAGCAATAGAAAGCATCATTTATCTGAGTACTTGTTTCTGTAAAAGTAGTGTTCTATTAATATATTTGGTGTTTGAATTACCCCAAGCAAAAATTCCATAATGTAAATACGGCAGATAAAGGGTTGAGATAATAGTATTTTGTAAGGGAATGGAAGTCTAAAGTTGTTTATAACACCCATATTGCTCCGGTTGTCTCATTTTCGCTCGCTGACCCATTGCCAGCACAAACGTAGCTAGACGGCAATACCAAACTAGAATGTTCCACTATGTTGCAGGGTGTATATGCCATTGGGTGAACCGGGTGTGTGGAAATGGTGTGTTGGGGAGGGGAAGTGAGAGTGTTCGTGTGTGTGTGGTAATTGTATGTGTGTCAACAATTAAAGACTAATATTGGCAGATGGCTAATCATTAATCTACAATGACGAGTGATCACAGTCCACAGATAAATGTGACTTGAACGTATATAGCAGACGGCAATCGGCGGATCGGACGACACTTGTTAATGATTTCGTATGTGAGATTGCTTTGCTAAATTCAAAATACAAGAACTTTTTCCATATCTTTAAACTATCATTGATATCTGATAATTAAATATTTAGTAAAATAAACCTACCAAACTACATAATACAATAAAATACTTGACTGAAAGTAGGGGAGTTTGATGTGGTGCACAATTGCACCCCTCTGTAAATAATCGAATAGTCCATGGCGTTCATGAATATTCATAAAAGTTGTTGGTCACGATGAGATAAAAGTGTTAGTGTTATCTGTAAATAAGATTAATGATAAGGTGGTAGATGCGAATTTAAGATCATTTATGTATAAAATAAAGAGCAGCGGTCCGGGTAACGACCCCACAATATGTGATATGCCTGACAATTGATTCGCAATTATTAACTGAGGCAAATTGGGTCCTGTCTTGCAAGTAATTGCTAAACCACCCCAAGGCCTTTACTCTCACACCATAGTGCGAGAGTTTAAATAATAATATTTCGTGATCTATAGTTTCAAAGGCCTTGGAGAAGTCCAGGAATATTCCAATGGTGTGTGAAAAATCATCAATTCCATGAGTGACTTTATTTATAAATATGAGCATTGCGTGAGTTGTTGTATTTATAGAATAATCTTCTTTTTTTTTCCTGTTGAAACAACGTAGCGGCGAGATTGTTATCCAAGGTTGACCAGGAGTTTTTTGTATTTATTATTTTCTGCCTGACGTTTTGGTGGTATATCTGTGTTCAATTATGAAATAAAAGTTTAATAGAAGAAATACTTCCAATGAGTCATTTGTGTTTTCACATGCGACAAGTCTTTAAAACTTAAATTTTATTTAAATTTGTCCACATCATCCTCTGAACGTTTTTGACGTTCGATCGCCAATTTCTGAAAATTGTCCTAGCCATTGGGAAAAGGTGTGAACGAGAATATTGGGAAGTGGTCGCTGATATCGGTCAAAATTTTCCCCGTAGAAGCGTGTGTTTGATGATTTTAAAACATGTTCTCAAGTGTTGTTAAAGAATTTATGATGCGCGTAGGTTTGTTAATTAAAGGAATGAGTGAGTGTGTAAACAAAGTGTCTAAGAAAACTCATTATCAATAGAAGCAGCACTACAAGTTAATAGATCACTTTCGAAATGCACCCGAATCCACGCATGTCTGCTCACAGAGTGCTCTCAGACTAACTCTCCGGCGCTTGGCACCTTTGATTCCTCTACGAGTAATTAACATTGGAGGGAGGGTAGGTTAATTATTCCCTCATCGGACAATGTGAACCATCCATATGATCATTGTGTTGACACCCCCCCCCCCCCATTCCCCCTCTCCCTCTCTCTCTCTCTCTCTCTTTCTCTCTCTCTCTCTTTCTCTCTCTCTCTCTCTCCTCTCTATCCCTCCCTCTCCCCTCTCCCCTCTCTCTCACACACACACCCACCCAACACACACATACACACACACTATCTATCTCTCTCTTTCTGTCTCTCTCTCTTTTTTCTCACTCTCTCTCTCTCTCTCATTAGCTATCTCTCTCTCTCTCTCTATCTGTCTTCTGTTCGCTTCTCTTCTCTACGGTAGTTGTATTGGCCATTTACAATTTACGTAGTTATTAGACAAAATAATCTCATAGTCCGAACTCCTCTCATCCTGAGTTGTATTTCATTCATATAGATCCATAAAACCAAATATCAACTTTTCGAATATAATTAAAATTAGCGTGTCAAAAATCGTTCCTCATAAAATCACCTCATTTCCATGTAACAACCAGGATCCCTTTTAACATTAATGATAGTAACGGGTGGAGCATGGACGGTCGTAAAAGTATAAAAGGCAAGGATAATCAGAGAGTCAGAAAGGAACGATGTATACTGCAAATAGAAACAAACTCCACGGGACTCATTAATCTTCCGATTCTCTCGGACTTGGATACTTGGATATAATCCACTTCAAAACATGTTTCATTTGCAGGACACATTTTAGAATTTGCTGGCCTATGTTTGCTCATACTACATGTATTTCTTCATGATTTAATTTCAAAAAATGATCTTTTCCTAAGCCTTGTAAAAAATCAAGCTTGCACAAGGTTAATGATTGATTCATTTATTTGATAGTTTCTTGCTGAAAGACTTGATATAAAATATAACCAAACTATCCTCTTATAAAGGTTTTTTCAGGAATTGTTTCATTCGATCGTTCTCCCGTAATTTAAAAAAAAAAATTCTTCCATACGATGATTTGTATTATTAATATTATCATAATCTGGATAATATTTTAAGACTGTAACGTTCAACCCTACGTCTGGCATGGTCACGGTGATTATCCAGAACTAGTACGATGAGTGTCTACATTCTTACAAGACAGATTCTAATCAGTCAAAATCTTCTTAGGAAATAATAGGAAGCTATATTCTTTCATTCATTCATTCATTTCGGTTTATTGAATCAAAATTCCTCGTTAAAACAGTCGGTAGACTGATACAAACAAAGATTACAAACTTGAAATGTTCAAAAATATAAAGAAAAATTACATACATGTACATCAATATGGAAAAGAAACAAGAATTAGTTAAAGGAAAGAATAACAATAATAATGAAAACTTCAATATATTGCACTTCATACACAATACAGATCTAATTTACATACAGTACATGGATAAGTGGGAGGAAAAAAAGAAAAAGAGAATGGACAAAGTGTTTCATTCCCTTTTGAGCGTTCACATTTTTAACACAATTAACAGAAATTGATTTATAAAACACAAAGTGATGATGATTATATACATATATTACAAATGAACAGATCTACTAGCAAATATGAAGAAAGTTGAAAAGTAAGAAATGAAATAGGAAGCTGAAGAAGATCTAAAGAAACGAGCGTGTGTAAATAATGTGTACAAATGTGTAACAAAATAACAAAATCAAACGCAGTGTCTCATTCTGGCTTTTGTTATACTATAAAATAAAGGGTTTAAATGGGTACATAAACCATGTAAACGGAATAAAGTTGTTTCATTAATATATATATGAACATAATGTATAACAAAATATTAACAAGGTGAAAATTCAAGGCGCTTGTAGGCTATATTGTGCCACTTTGTTTACATCCTTTTAACGGTTAACAATTTATTTGTATATTTAGGACACATGTATATCATGTTACTAAATACACGTAGGCCTATACTGTATATAGGCAATCATGTGGTGACATTAAAAAGCAAAAACTACATGGAAGAATTAAACGTTCACGATAGCCCTAATTATGACGGAGGACACTATCTCTTTAAAAGAAAAGAATGGTTTCTTTCAGCAGCAAGGGATATTAAAAGCGTTGAAATCACAGGATAGCAGAAGACGAATATAGTCATTAGTCTCTTCCATTTTATTTGCAATTTCTTTTTAATAGACAGAAGTTAGATCAATGCGTATATAATATACCAATCGGTATTTATGTTTTTAATGAGAAGTGTGATTTAAAAAAATGCTAATTACTTTGGTACACGCTGTATCTATATATAACACCGAGTAGTACTTTGTGCCAAAAAAACAAAAAAAACTGTGATAACAAAATAATGTCATCTTCCATACCAGCCACACATTGCAATTTTATGAAACAAAGGGTTTCGTGTACAGTTCAAACCCTAAAGGTGATACCATCCTTGGGCTCCTCAAGAGAAACTTTCATCATCTTGATGAAAAGTCATTAGTTCTCCTGTATAACACCCTGGTACGACCTAAGTTAAAGTACTGCTCAACAGTATGGAACCATCTTTTGAATAAGGACAAGGATAAGTTGGAAAAGGTGCAGAGGAGGGCTTCAAAACTTGTCAAAAGTGTGAGACACTTAAACTACTCAGAGAGACTTAAAGCACTGAAAATCCCCACTCTACAGTTCAGACGGAAACGATTTGACATGATTCAAGTATTCAGAATAATGCACCAGTTCGATAATCTTCAAGAAGAACATTTCTTCAGCAGAACAAAGTGCAGTCGCACCCGTGGTCACTCACTTAAGCTTTACAAGCTAAAATGCCGGAAGACATTAAGGAAAAACTCATTCAGCCAAAGTAAATCAATGTGTGGAATGGTCTTCCAGGCGATGATGTGGAGAGTACCACTATATCAATCGTTTTAAATCTAGACTTGAGAAATGATGGAAAGCTGCCCCAGATAAATATGATGACAACCCCAGCCAAACGAAACCATGGATATAGGAACAACATTCTAAAGACTGAATAATCCTGGATCAAGTGAGTTACAAGTGGGTTACTATCTTAATGCTGATTATTGATAATTTATTTCTTTTTTTTTACTTATCACATAAGGGATTACATAATTTGGAACTGAATACATTGTAATTCATTTCCCTCAAATCAATTCCCCCCTCTCTCCCTCTCTTTCTCTCTCTCTCTCTCTCTCTCTCTCTCTCTCTCTCCTATCTACATATCTTTTTATAATTATGTCTCTCTCTCTCATCTTGCATCCTTGCCAATGTAATTATTACTACCCATAATTAAACCGTGATACAATCCAACGGTTCCTTCGTAAAATAATTATTACATGCAGTTTGACATTTAAGTGCAACAAATTTTAACAGCCATGACAATCGATCATTTAAATAACGGACGTACTTCCAGTTTTCCTAACGCTTGAGTCGGGCTTGTTCCCACTGAATACGGGTGAATTTGTGTTGGTTTTTCCAGTGAAGAGCTCTTTGGTTGCGACCCTGAACTGTGGATTCTGTGCAGCGTAGATGAAAGGATTCAGACAACTGTTGAAGAAACCGAGGATCGTAAGGACTCGATGAAGAGGAGTACCGATGTATTCAGACCATTCTATGAAACCAACGATCACACCTAAGAAGGCCACCTGATTGGGCAGCCAGCACACGATGTAGATGATGATGATCTCTAACATGATTATGAGCACGCGATTGCGAGCGACAACGTGGAAAGAGGTGTCTGTAGAGCTGGTTTTCCCTCGGAAGGTATTCCCTTGGAAATTTTTCGATTGGCGATGGAGCTCCAGCGCGATCAGGGACTGGGTGATGAGCATGGTGGCGACGGGAACAACTATACGAAGACAGAACCAGTAGTAACCTATAGCTGTTAAGCCTTGACGAGTCGTCACCGTTAATGTGCAGTATCCATACGTGTCGTCGATACCTGTGACGAAGAATCCGAACAGTAGAGACAACAAGGCCAGACACCAGATGAGGCCAACGGCTATGTTTACACGCCGGACAGTCACCATACAACTGAATTGCAGTGGATAGACCACGGCGATGTACCTTTCAACAGACATTGCCATTAGGATGTAGGAGGAGGCAGTGACAGGTAACCAAAGAGGGAGGTTTTGGAACATCACCAAACACCATAACATTCCTTGCCATGAATCGGGCGCACGGGATGGGGTCGGATAAGGGACGATGGCAAAGGATGTCACGAAATCAGCTACGGCCAGATTTCCGATGAGGATGTCGGTTGTTCGGCCGGACAAACGACGACGACTGAAGATGACCAAGATGACCAGCAAATTACCCAAGATTCCAACAGTGGCTGAGAGGAGTTGGAGAATGATGTCCCACTTCCATGTTAACGATTTCCAAAGCCATTCAGATTCTGAACCACCTGATGTGAAAGATAACAAATTAATTCGAGCAGTTATCTTATTACAGAACTACAATCGGAGAGGTATCTATAATAAGGTTTAGTAAAATGGAAGGTGTTTTCATGTTCATGTCTGGGACATTCAGGCGCATATTCCCACATTCAATTCTGGATATAATACTACACCTAACCCCAAACCTAACCTTAAACGTATCTGAAAACCTCTTTGACGAAATAAAGCCCGGAGCAATTGTTACTCTGACAATGTTGGATCACCATTCTGAGCATGTCAGCTTGGTCTTAAGTCGAGTTTGGAAGAAAACAAAAGTAGCAAGACTGAGGTGAGAAGATCGGAAGTTCTCTCTTTGCTGCACATGACTTGGACTCGTCCTGTTTCAAGCGTCTGGTTTAACTGAATTATTATGACATAGAACTGTATATCCTTTATATCCAATGCACCATCATAGACCATTATGATATAACAAAAGGGAGACGATACACAAGCCTAATAAGTGTCGTTGTTGATGTCATTGAATGAATGCTGATTATGTTAGCTACCATGATAATTATGAAGACTAATTTAGTGAAAATGGAAGACGATATGGTTCAACTCATTAATTTAATAAACGTTTCTTTTTGAGGGGGAGGGGAGTTCAACTATTGTTATTATTGTTCTTACTTAATTACACTTCATCTAATTATGTTTTACTTGATGTAAATATTCATCAGCTTCAACTCTGCACTTACCTGAACCGAAGTCTGTAATTTCTGTTGAAAAGTTGAACGCAGATGAAAGGTTCTCCGAGGTCATTCCGTCACTGGACCAATGCACACTCGTAATGGCGCTTCCCGCGCTCGTCCCACTTGGCGCCGTATTCAAGGCGCCATCTTCCTCACCGTTTGTATGTAGTAATTCACCACTGGTATACAATGTAATCTCGGTGACGCCATCGCCAGGGCTGGTTGCGGAGTCAGATTCCGTGGTGCCTTTTTCCCTGATGGTAGTGAACGTGTTGGGGGACGTGAATGAAGTTGGCGGGCCGTTGTCATGTGTGGTGGGCGTGGTCAGATCATGGTTTGTCGCTGTTTGAGTAAATGCTGTTCTGATCATCCCCGAGAACACGAGGAGGGCCATAAACGCCCCCGTGGTTGCCGATTCGGGTGGTGGCATTTCGCTTTATTTAAAAACAATTAGGAAAGGAGTTTCAAAATCTTGCACTAAGTCCGATGTGGATGGGACAAAATTGTTTGTCACATATTGGTTTATCGAATACTAAAATCATAATTCACTAGAGAGAAAAATTCTACTTAGTTTTATGGTTTAGTGTTGAAGCGGAATGCACAAATTATTTATCAAAATATGTGCACTGCCACTAATGTTCATTTATACGAGCAATTATCATGGAGAAAAATTATCTAAATTCAGCCATAATTATATATTACTTCATGAAGTAAATTAATTGAGTTTGTTTTCTGACTGCAATGTTAAGGAGGAGAAAATGGACTCTCCATAAACATGATGAATTATGAAATAATAATTGACACGATCGACATAAGTCTTTCCAATTTCTCTTTTGTAACGTTATGTTTGTTACTTTTTATTTGTTTGTTTATTTGATTGATTGCTTGTCGCGAATGTATTGTATGATAATGTCATGTATACCGGGATACATCCATAATGTTGTAATCCCGTGCAGATTTATGTATTCATATTCGTAACTAGAAAGATACAAACACGATCGCAACTACTTTATATAGACTTTGGCAATTCCAATGGCCTCGTACGTCATCTTTTTTAATTATGCGAATATTACCATGTCATATTACGTAATCTGAACATGATTTCTAATGAACGTACAATGAGGTGTTTAAATCGATTTTATGCTATAACGTCATGTATACCATACCGGGACACGTCTTTTAAAAAAAACCTAGACAAGCCATTCTAGCGCTGCATTTGATTGCGCTGGCTCAAAAGGGACATATACGTCATGCGCTAGTCATAAATATTCATAATACACACGCATCTGATGCGATAGTTTGCCATTTTAAGAGATTTCATACAAAAATTACAAGTGCAAAGATATGTTTACTTAAAATGAATGACATCTCGAGCAAATCGGTACACTTGCCACAAACGAATAACTACCCAGCTCGAAACTTGTTCTTAATCATTGCGACATACCGGTTAGTCTAGTATTTTGCCGATTTAATTTTTGATCTCCCCTACACCGTACCAACGCAAATATTCAAGTATTCAAATATTCAAATGCAGCGCAAAGATGGCTGGTCTAGGTTAAAGAAAGACGCTACCTCCATAAACTTGTAATCCCGTGCAGATTTATTTATGTATATTCGTAATTAGCAAGATGCAAACACGAGCTCAACTACTTTAGACTTAGGCAATTCGATTGGCGATATACGTCATCTTTTCAACAACGTTTTATTACTTTTCCGAACAAGATTACTAAGTACAATAGGGTATTGAAATTGCTCTCGAGTTAATTTTTCGAAAGTATAATTATAGATGCGATCGTATTGACCTAACAATTAAGGTATGTACCCTGAAATTACCCTACATATTGTGTACAGGCAATCGTCTGGAAGCTTATGAAATAATTTGATTACAGCCGGTTTGACATGCCCCAGTTAATAAATTCTTGTATTCACCGTAATTCCGGATTGCGTACAAGCTTCATCTTGCAATTTACATTGAAACCTTAGTAACATCATGATCATCCAACGCATGTTTGAGCTAAAATGGGTTTAGAATACTGGATCATTTTCGTAATGTTATCAACATTTAATGCATAATTTTGTGTTAAGTACCATGTTGCAAATTATTTCATTCACGAATAATTAATGTATTTAATAGTTAGTATGCGAATTGCTAACATTACCTGTTGTCAGGTGGGACAAGCCATAATGTTTGTCAAACCTAGCAAAAATTAATGTATGCAATTAATTGGCATAAAATTTGATAGCATTACGGAAATGGCCTATTGAACGAAACATGTGTACCAACAGAACACTTACAAGACTTTAGCCTGATTTATGCCCGTCCCTATATGACATATACATTTCGCGAAGCATGATAATAGGTTGGGGTTATAAAAGATTGGGTTAAGGGTTGGGGCACATAGAGACAGGGTGGGGTATAGGACCTAGAATGAGGAGACCTTTACAATCTTTATCGTACCAATAACTATTTATTTTTGGTCGCAGTCCTGCAGCGGCAGAGCCCATATTGTCTATAAGCGAGAAAAGGGCATTTTATATTTACTAGCCATCCCAGACCATCGGGGAGAGTGTGTTTAACAATTATCGCTATTACTTCCTGTCTCGTCTTTTTTCCCTCCCCCTCCAGCCCTTTCTCATATTTACCCCCAATAGAATGAGGGCTGCTGTTTTGAACCCCCCCCCCCCGCCCGATCCGCATATGTGATGTTTATATTAAACATTTCTTATATGAGATTTGTCACCATCTGGATCAAGATATAAAAAAAATTTATTGGAATATAGCACTGATTTTAGAGAGCAAAAAGTCATAAGGCAAACTAAATTACCACTTTCATATTTTTTCTTCATTTACAAAATAGGGGTATTCCCATTTATTGCCCTAAAACGCATTCGTGCGGAGAAAAACGAAAACGGTTGTGCATGTTCTTTTCTTAAATTGTCAGAAGATATACAATTTTCTCCTCTAACTAAATCGTTTGCGTTTGTTGAAATCTTTGTCATATCGTGTTGACAAAAATTGTTCGTTATCATGGCCCTTTATTTAAATGACCAGTCATTCATTTTAATTGGGTATCAATATTCTCATGCATTGACCTCTCATAAAATATATGCAGGTATATACGTGGCAAACAATCCAAACACTTTTGATTTTTACAGGCACATAATTATGATTATGATTTTATTCATATCCTTATCCCGAGTTAACATCCGGATTTTCTATGTATCATCGTATTTTAGTATGAAATGTAATGGGGGTTTTCCCATTTATTTACGTTGACAGCTTTATAAGGGTATATACGTTAGCTGTTTAAGGTGTGTTTGCGTTTACCAGGCTCAAACCATCATTTTCAAGATTAAATCCAATCGACCTTTTTCAAACCAAATATATGTATTTATTAATACACATATTTCTTTTCTGAATTATCTCACAAAGTGTTGTTTAACAGATTTATTATTTTAAAATAAAATCTGTTTGTGATAAAGTTTTAAAGAAATTCGTATCATCATCCGTTGTGTTTAAACTAAAAATTATATCGCTGCCGAAATTACTAAACATTAATTTTCATTGAAAATGTTAATTATAATATTTTTATCAGGAGTAACTTCTTGGTTAATAAAAATATGCCTTTCTTCCTGAGACTTTTTGCTTGGAAGTAAATCTTTCATCACCTTTCAAAACCGACTTTTCGTAAGCTATTTGTTGAAGTCCCTCTCTCGTGCTAAAGCCAAGTATTCATCGTTAATTCTAGGGGATCCATTAAACTTTCCCCGTGCAGAAACCTCTTCAGTTTTTTATTCAAATTGTTCGCTTTCTGTCGAAAGCAAGTGTATTTTTTCGCAGTGCAACTTCATAGTTTGGGTATATTCAATAGATTGCTGAAGATTAGGTTGATAATAATGGATTCTGGTATCTTCAGCTGTAAGTATGATATGTTGGTCGAACTTCCTTTTGTTAAAGTCCCTCTCTCGTACTAAGCCCAAGTATTCATCGTTATTCCAAGAAGATCCATTAAACTTTCTCCTTACAAAAATGTACGGAGCATGTTTGTTACTAAGATTAAGCTTTAACGACGACATTTGTTTGACATTGTTCTCTAAAGAGAAGACCGAATTTTGAAAGGTGTTTTCGTTTAAGGACCTGCATGAACGCTCTAAAAGAAAAGATTTTGGACGTTAACTTTGGATGATTTTTTTTTTTTTTTTACTAAGTACACTAAAGACCGGTCGCTTAATCCAACTGATTGAAATCCAGTTTTCAATGGACAAATTGTGTCGGAAACACATATTAAATCTATCCACGAGGTGCTATTGGGAGAAACACAAGTAGGTTGTTGAACAAGTTGAGTAAAAGGCATCAGTGCTCAAAATTCATTTACTTATTTCTGTTTCTACATGTATATAATCTTTTTGTATAATTCACATTTATCAAGTGGACTATAATTTATAAGAATCACGGAAAGAAAATTGAGGATGAGTGAGTTTGGTAGTGGGTTTTCTTTGATATTATAAAGGATTTCATTCGACTCTTTATTTTACGATTGTAATTCATGAATTGTACACATATTAAGTTAATTGAATTATTTTATTATGATGAAAAAGAATTGAATTTTGAAAAATTATTTGTATTGAATGAAATTGAAATAAAAATAAAGTGGGAAAACAACAACAAAAGTGTGTGTAGGTGTGCGTGTTCAATAATGTACCAAGAGATTATGATACAAACAAAATATGCTTAAGGATGAATTCTTAGATTCCTTTATTTATTTCTTTTAAAGCACGTACTCAAAAGTGTTAAGCGCAAGTTACATTGAAAATGCAAGTATGATACAAACTGATAAGTCCATGACGAGGATATCATTTTTTGTTTTTTGTTTTGACAAAATATGATATAGGTTCTTTATCAAGAAAAGTTGTATTAAATCAGTGACTTCTATGAATACTGGCATATGTTTGTTTAGAATACATCATCCGTTTTATTTAATTAGCCTAAAGTATCGTCTGACAAAAAAGTAAACTTAAAAAAGAAAAACCGTCACATATATACCTGGAAAGGAATTCATAATTACTGATTTAGAATTGGTATACTGTGGAAGCATACATGTACATGTAGGTCTATGTTATGAACAATATACTTCATGAACAAAAACATTCTTGAATTATGGGCCCTTGAATTCAGATGTACCATAAAATAAGTTCAATTTTCGTTCATCTATATTTTGTTTCTGAAAACGTCATGTCGTGTTAGATTAGGCATACTGCATTCGATTTTTTTTTAATGGAATTGTTATTAAATAGTTGCACTAAAAAATGATGAAGATTCAACCGCAAGCATTATGTTTTCAGGTACCACAATTCGTAAGATATCTGTTCTTTTCCTTAGTAATCTGTGCTTGAGAAATTCAGAGATAAATATAGATGCATCTTTTATCACTTAGATGGGCCCACAATAAAAGCAGAAGAAAAAAACAAACAGAATATCAAGATCAAAAAACAAAAAGTAAAGTACAAAATATCAAATGGTACTGCAATGGCTTAGAAGAGAACATAAATAAAGGAATAAATCATAAGTGGCAGAAAAAATAATCGACGAAGTAAATATAGAAACTTACCTCGGCTTCGAAATTGCTGGAGAATAAACTACTGATCCTGTTTCTGCAACCACTCAACGCGGGTCAATGAAAAAGTGTTTTATGTAGCCATATAATCTCCGCTTTTATATACATGTAGGACGGCACGCGCAGAGGCTTAATTCCCCCTCCTGTCCTATTATCGTCCGTGTGCGTAATAACTCTTCCTGTGATGTCATTTCGTAACACTTTCTTGGTATTTTTGTGATGCAGGTATGTACGAACTCAGAACCTCCATTTAAGTCATATCGATAAACACAAAGCCAGGTGAAGAAAAAAAAATTATATAACAAGAGATTATTCAAAGGCAGAACTCACCAATGCAACAAATTTAATCAAAACAATTCTGGAAACCTATGAATGCAGCATTAATTCGATTTAAAGAGACTTCTGCCCTACAAATCTGTTTTGAAAGCGGATATATACATTTTTTCTGACTTAATTCGTAAATGGTTTCATTGTGTCTAATTTTGCCATATTTCCATTTTCTGGAAAAATGGCAAAATTAGACAAAATGAAACCATTCATGAATTAGGTCAGAAAAATGTATATATATATCACTGTTTCTATGCAAGAAACCGAGTTTGCGAGGCTTTAAATGGAAAATTAATTTTTAAACTTTAAAAAGGATGAGGAAAATCATTTTGCCTAACAAACAGTTCTGTGTCAACTATAAGTACGGTGAATTTCACTGACGAATATATTACGATCTTGATTTAGAAGGAGTAAGATGGAAAACTTCCATATTATATTGTTGCTTTTAATCTGATAATTTTTCAGAAATAACAATAAAAAAGTTTTAAAACAAATTTATAAAAAAAGATGGAAAACTTCCGTTGATTTAAAACATGTATTAACCCAAACAATATCTATTCCTTTTGATGAAAAATGTAAACTAACAATAGGTTTTTGTTAACATAATGTATACTAACATGGAACGTTGTACAGAAAATAATTAGATTATGTTTTTTAACCAACTACAAAATTCAAAAAAATATTTCTAAAAACTATTGTACTAGAGGCCTTTAAGATACATGACATGCATACGGGCAAATGATACGGGCATAACATAAACAATATAGAACTGTATATTGATATTACCCAAGCAAGCATTTAATGATAGTATTATTTAACTGTATATATTTTCGGCTAATTCGCAAAGTTCACATTAAAATGCAATTATAGCTCTTCAACTCCCGCGCGATGTAGGAATGAACTTGACAGTCGACCATTAAAGATACGGATGGGATTCGATCGTGCTCGAGTTTTATGTTCTTATGTTTCCGATCGCAGCTACTCTCGATAATCCAATCCAAGGCAAATATCATTTTCATAGTATTATCAAATTTAATGAACATATCTTTGTTTAGTGCCTCGTTACAAATTCTTTCATTTACCTGTTACGAATAATTGTACACTGTCGCTCATATAGTTGGAATATTTTTGTTTTACCCCAATTTATGGAATTATTTTAAAAATAATTAAAAAATAATAGATCTAGATAATAGTATACATTCTCAGATTTTATTGAATAATGATTTGACAATGTGTGTTTTGCGTGACTGCTAAAGCATGTGTATGCTACTATGCTTATCAAATAGGGGACCTACGCCCTTAGTCATAAATGACAGTAATGCCCCACAAAAGGGCACTAATATAGGACATCGACACGGTTTTGATCCTGGGGTCTCACAGTTACGAGGCCATTGCTTTGTCACTGGACCATGACTGTACGCAGCGGGGGCTAGGGTAGGGGGCAGTTTCCATAAATTTTAAAAAAAACAGAAAATGCAATAAATTTTCAATAATTTATTGCATTTTACCCCGGTCCCCAACATAAACAAATCCTCTGGATGGCCATGCATTATATGTCGGTAATCGTTGGCTCATTATGCTACTTAGTGGTGATGCGAATTTTTTTTACTACAAAACAAGTTTTTGCTCATTACGCCACTGATACTAAGTATGTAATGCAAAATAATGATGGTAGAATGTTGCCTTTAAAAGAAAATATTGATACCATGAATTATAATCTTTGCAATGTGTATGCACCCACACAGAAAAAAATCAGGGAAAGATTTGTTAAGAACTTACAACACAATCTTATTAGAGACGATGTAAATGAAACTGATTTTAATCTTATATTAGGTGGAGAATGGAACTGGGTAGTAAATGTGCATTATGATGTTCAATGTACCAGAAGTAATTTTTTATAAAAAGACACGAAGTCTTAAATTGCTAAAACTTTTGAAGAAGAACAAACCCATTCAGTAGAAAATCCATATTGAAAAATTCTTCTCTACAGATATTGCCTTAGGTTTTTATTTCAATCGACTTATTTTGCTCACGGCTCACGAGCTCCTCGCCTATTGAAATGTGCACAAATGACAATGGGATAGTTTCGTAATGAAACCAAATTGAATGGAAACATCTTTGTGAAGTTCCTCGATATAAATCATTTCATTCATTTCTTACAAATAATTGTATCTCAATAGAATTCGAATTGCATACAGTATTTGTTGATAAGACATAATAATATATGCAGTTTGCATTCTATTGATTTATTCATAACAGGTAAATGAAATAATTTGTATAAAGGCACTTTACAGAGACGTATGCATTGAATTCGGTTACATTACGAAAATGGCACCTTAATGGCGTATTCCGATAATTGAAGAGAAAACCATCTATTTGCTTTGTACAAAACATAAACGCTATTAATATCTTGCTTTTAAATATACACTTAAAGTGGAGAGCATTTTGCTCTGTAAAAAACATAAACACCATTAATATCTTGCTTTCAAATGTACCCTCATAGAATATCAATATAGTTTAGGTTTTGCTCAGAAATGATATTAAAAGCAAATTAGACCTTTTTTGTAAAGTACACCTATCACAGTTTAACTTCTATATCTTTATTATTGTAATATTTATTATCATTTATTGTAATCATTATCATTACAATTAATAGTAGAAGTATTTGTATTATTATTAATGAATATAACTATCATTATATTTACCCAATTACCCAGTATGTAATCATTTACCGCCCCAAATCATGAATTAAATCACGATTAAACATCAGATGTCATCGATTCCCTGTAGGCTTACAGGATTTTTTCTCCTCTCTCTCTCTCTCTAACCCCTTTCTCACCTTCTCGTCTCATCTCACTCCCTCGCTCTTTCATTTTCCAACAACCCCTCCCTCTGCCTTAATCTCTCTTCTATCCTATTCACCAATCTTCTACTCTCTCCCTCCTCATCTCTTAATTGTCATGCCCCAGCACCCGTTCCCTGTCTCCAATTCCCTCCCTATGCCTCTATCCCACTCACCAATCTTCTATTCTCTTCCCCTTTTCCAGCCCCTCCCCTCTCTCTGCCTCTCACGCTCTGCTATACCACTCACCAATCTTCTATTCTTTTCCCCTTTTCCAGCCCCTCCCCTCTCTCTGCCTCTAACTCTCTGCTATCCCACTCATCAATCTTCTATTCTCTTCCCCTTTTCCAGCCCCTCCCCTCTCTCATCCATCTGCCTCTAACTCTCTGCTATCCCACTCATCAATCTTTTATTCTCTTCCCCTTTTCCAGCCCCTCCCCTCTCTCTGCCTCTCACTCTCTGCTATCCAGTGGCAGATCCAGGGGGGGGGGCCGGGGGCCCGCCCCCCCCCCCGGGAAAAAAATGAAGGGAAAAAAAGGAGGGGGAAAAAAAAGGGGAAAAAAAAGAAGGAAAAAAAAAGGGAAAAAAAGAAGGAAAAATAAGAAGAGAGAGAGAGAGAGAAGGAAAAGAAGGGAAAGAGGAGAGAAAGGGAAAGATAGAAGAGGAAGAAGAAAATAAAAGGGGGAAGAAGGAGATCGGGGGGGGGGGGGGTTCGCCTGCTAGGCTGTTGCCTCCCCCCCCCCCCCATCAAAAAAATAAGAGAGAAGGAATGAAATGGAAAGACGAAAGGAAAAGAGGAGATAAAGGGAAGGAAATTGGGGAAGAAGAAAAGATAAGAATAATAATAATAATAATACACAATATTTATTAGGCGCTTAATACTGGTGTCTCTAAGCGCACCATATTCTGACTAAAAAAATTATTTACCAAAAGTTATAATAAAAAAAGGGGGTATTAGTTGCAATTTTCCCGCCAACAAGATGTGGATCGGGGTGGGGTGGGGCAAAAGGCCCTTGCTCCCCCCCCCCCCGCCCACGCTAAAACAGAGAGAGAAGGAAGGAAAAAGGAAAAAAGGAGAGCTAAAAGGGACCGAAAAAGAGGAAGAGAAAAAAAGGGTGAAAAGAAGGGGAAATAGATAATTTGCGGTTAATCCCGCCAACAACGTGTGTAAAAGGGTGAAAAAGAATATTAAAGAGAAACAGAAAGAAAGAGAGCAAGAAAGAAAGAATAGTTAACTGCTAGTGTCACAACAAAATAAGGTATCAAAAATGCTCATCTGACCGTAATTAAGCGCCTAACACCCCTGGGCTTCTGGGGACTCCGCCTGCTGGAACTCACGCCAATCAGTGTCCTGCCAGTGTCACAAATAAGGTATAAAAATATGTTCATCTGACCGTAATCAAGTGCCTAAAACCCCTGAGATTCCGGGGTTTTCCGCACCCTCGACCCCACCAAGGGCCCTAGGTGGGACCCTGAATGCTTATCTGACCGTAATTTATTGCCTTAAACCACCGAGTTTCCGGGGGCGGACAACTTGAAGGTATCAAAATTTGTTCATCTGACCGCAGGCGCGTAGCCAGGGGGCGGTGGGGGCGCCCCCCAAAAAAGCCGGCCAAAAAAAGAGAGGATAGAAAAGGAAGAGGACGTAGGAAGAAAAAGGAGCAGACAAAAAACATTTTTGAATCTCAGACAAGGATTAAGAGTCGAAAACGGTACAACGATTGTCTTCTTTCTCTAATAATTTAATGAAATGTCAAAGCCTTCGCGCAGGAGGGGGGGACTGATCTGAGACAAGGATTAAGAGACGAGAACGTTACAGCGAATCGTCTTCTTTCTTAAATACTTTTAATGAAACGTCAAAGCTTTCGCGCTTCGCGCGGGAGGGGGGGGGGGGGGACTAAATTGAGACATGGGTTAAGAGTCAAGAATGGTAATACGAATCGTCTTCTTTCTCTAATAATTTAATGAAACGTATAAGCTTCCGCGCTTCGCGCGAGAGGGGGGAACTGAATTCAGACGAGGAATAAGAGTCAAGAACGGTACAACGAATCGTCTTCTTTCTCTAATGATTTAATGAAACGTAAAAGCTTCCGCGCTTTGCGCGCGCAAAAGGGGGGGGGGCTAAATTCAGACGAGGATTAAGAGTCGAGGACGGTACAACAAATCGTCTTCTTTCTCTAATAATTTAATGAAACGTCAAAGCTTCGGCGCTTTGAGGAGGAGGGAGGGGGAAAATCGCCCCTTCCTGCACCCCCTGGCACCCCCCCCCCCATTACGTCAATGCACCCCCCCCATTAGGCAGGGGGGGGGGGGTTGGGGTAAACCCCCCTTGAGTTTTTTGTATGTTTTTTGGGAACCCCCCCCCCCTTTTGATTTGATTTTTTATTTTTATTTTTGTAATAAATAATTTTTTTTTTTTAAATCCTTATAGATGACATAAAAAAATATGTCCCCCCCCCCGCTTATTCAGCGGCTGGCTGAGTCGTTGCGATTTTTTGGGGACCCATAATTTCAAATTTGGCCCCCCCCCCCCCCCAAAAAAAAAAATCCTGGATCTGCGCCTGCTGCTATCCCACTCACCAATCTTCTATTCTCTTCCCCTTTTCCAGCCCCTCCCCTCTCTCTGCCTCTAACTCTCTGCTATCCCACTCACCAATCTTCTATTCTCTTCCCCTTTTCCAGCTCCTCCCCTCTCTCTGTCTCTCACTCTCTGCTATCCCACTCACCAATCTTCTATTCTCTTCCCCTTTTCCAGCCCCTCCCCTCTCTCTGCCTCTAACTCTCTGCTATCCCACTCACCAATCTTCTATTCTCTTCCCCTTTTCCAGCCCCTCCCCTCTCTCTGTCTCTCACTCTCTGCTATCCCACTCACCAATCTTCTATTCTCTTCCCCTTTTCCAGCCCCTCCCCTCTCTCTGCCTCTAACTCTCTGCTATCCCACTCACCAATCTTCTATTCTCTTCCCCTTTTCCAGCCCTTCCCCTCTCTCCTCCCTCTGCCTCTAACTCTCTGCTATCCCACTCACCAATCTTCTATTCTCTTCCCCTTTTCCAGCTCTTCCCCTCTCTCTGCCTCTCACGCTCTGCTATACCACTCACCAATCTTCTATTCTCTTCCCCTTTTCCAGCCCTTCCCCTCTCTCCTCCCTCTGCCTCTAACTCTCTGCTATCCCACTCACCAATCTTCTATTCTCTTCCCCTTTTCCAGCTCTTCCCCTCTCTCTGCCTCTCACGCTCTGCTATACCACTCACCAATCTTCTATTCTCTTCCCCTTTTCCAGCCCTTCCCCTCTCTCCTCCCTCTTCCCCTAACTCTCTGCCATCTCACTCACCAATATTCTTTTCTCTCTCCCCCCCCCCCTCCCCCGCCTTTCCCTCATCTCTCCATTTCCCTGCCCTAGCACCCCTCCCCTCTGTCCCAGTCTCTCTGCTATCCCCTCTCTCTCTGTCCCATTGCTCCCACTTTCTCTCTCCCTCTCTGCTTCTCTCATATTCCCTCCCTCTGTCTCAATCTATCTCCTATCTTACCCAACAGTCTCTATCTCTCTCTGTCTACTTGTTGGTAATCAGTCAATGTAAATTTGTAAAATTCTGTTATTATTTTTCTCCAGCCAGGACCCAATATCAATTCAGTTTAATCTTCTTAAAAATTATTTTGGGAAACTGAATAAATCATCAACACATTTACATAACAATGGAGACTGTACAAAACTTGTCAGTGATTCTACGTTTTGTACACATCGTAGTGGATTTTTATTCCAAATACAAATCACATAATCGGCTTCATGGCAATACAAAGTAACAAAAATCTTCTATTCAATCTACAAGATATCCCACCAAGAAAGAGGTGAATCGTTCTTAAACCACTGTGACTGCAAGAAAAGCAAGCAGATTTGGGCGACGATGAATAATTCTTTTATCCACCATGAGTAATGTATGATCACAAAAGAATAAAAGATGAAATAGAGTAGACCCATGTCTGATTAAAAGAAATCACATTGATTAATAATGTATTATACCGTCTACATTAGCTCTCCATAATGTCACACAGAGGGTCATGATTCTTATAACAATCTCTACAATGTGGTGCTTGGTCAAAGAAAGGAAACTGAGAGCAACTGGCAACTAAATCATTCAGGCCTATTCACTTATGAAGGAAAAGACCCTCGGGCCCCCGAGATCTTCTCACTGCCTAACTGATTATCATTGCAAAAGTAGTCTACAGACAGACTGCAGGTAAAGATTTTTCTTCTAGACACAATGCAGTATCCTTTGATCATAGGTCACACAAATGGTTAAGAGTCAAATGTTGTAAAGAATTTGTTTGATGAAATTTGAAGATAACAAATCTGTAGAAATTTGCAACTTCAAGCCCTAAATGATAGCAAACACAATGTATATAGACTTACTTATATAGAGCTTGTCATTAATGTTGTAAACAGCTCAGAACGAATAATTTTAAACAGCATTGTAATGTCCAAAATATTCATACTCAGAAGATTACTAATGCATCATAAGTGCATTTAGAATTTGTTTTCTTCTTTTCTATTAAAGAAGAAATTCATACTACTTCCCAACAAGTTTATGGAATCAATCTGGCTAGGGAATACTTTATCCATTACATAGAAATCTGTTGGTGTATGTATGCAAATAACTTCAGAGATATCTCATCTGTATGGTGAGTACTATAAGCTATCACTGAGGAAGACTGAGTAACGTCTGCTGTCCTTGGGGTAGGTAGGAGACGTTACGTGACCTTGACATCTGGTAGGCGATGTCCTCTGCTGCTTCAAGCTTCCTCAGCTCAATGAGACCGTTGCCTGCCTTAGCGAAGGCCTTGGAGAGCAGTGAGGCAGCAATGGAGTCTCCCTCTGCGGTGGTGATGGCCGCTCGCTTCTGGTGCTCCGCCTGAAGTAGGAAAAAAGGTAACAGGTTGGAAAGTGAAATCTATTTTGAATACCCATTCATCCCAAGTACCATGAAAGTGCAGAGCAGGAGGGCATTTCACAAAGACTAAGATTGATTTTAAGTTGGACTTAATTATGGCAGGTCATTCATGCCACTGTTTGCTCTCACCATTTACTTAATACTGGCATTGGTATCTCAAGGGATGTACAAATCATGGTCACAAATCTACAGAACTTACATTTTTTAAGGAAAAAATATTACCGGTATCTAAATATCATAATTGAGAGACCCATGGGGAGAGCAACCAGTGGCATGATGAATGGCTTGCCATATTTAAGTCCAACGTAAAGTCGATCTTAGTTTTTGTGAAACACTTCCCAGGTGTTACGAAACATCACTAACCACACAAAACGTAGTAGTGATGCTGTTGCACACAAAAAGACTCGATAGACTCTTGACTAACACAAATGCTGCAATGTCAGTCAAGGACTTTTTATTAACAATTGCCTCTAGCCTCATCCAGGTGTAGTAACCCTGACGTGACCAATTATGTGCTTTACTACATTGGCCTCTGCACTTTCTGTAAAGTCTTATATTTCAGGTCACCTATAAGCCAAACATGAATTGGCTATCGTGTCCAAATATTGTATGCATTATGAACTATTGGCAATTGGTGAATGAGGGCAATCTTCAGACTTTCATTGGCAATTTTTCTGTTCTATTTAACGCAACTATTTATATCTGTTACAAGTCAAATAATATTGAATTTGAGCACACTTTATCAAGAGACACGATAACGTTCAGACTAGTTTACGTCCCCTAATCCTTACCTTCTCTACAAGGAACCTTGCTCTCTCAGCTTCTTGTTGAGCAACCTGCTTCATCTCTACAGCCTGGGTGAACTCACGTCCAAACGTCAGATGGGTCTACACATTAACAAAATATTGTCAAAATTAGCTGAATATTACATTAGCACTGTCAGAAATATAATACATTCTAAAAAGTATGCAGATTCGCTTAACATGTCCATTTCCATGGTGGACTTTCCCTTTTAAATAGATCATATCACTTTTCCATCATCTGACTTTTATATTATGACAATACTAGAAGAGCTTTCATATTTAAGACTATTCATCTATCTTTCTTGTTAAACTTAAGAAATATATGGAACATGTGAAATTAAATTTCTAAAAGATATCACAGGGAGCATAAAGGCAGGAGAAAGATTCTTCCCCCCCCCCCTTTCCTTATAGTGCGATTGGATTGTGACAGAAACGGTGCGGAATCGATCAGAAAAGGTTGATCATTTAGCATAACTATTGGTGTGTACTGCAAAAGTCTGCAAGGTTCTGGAGTCATCAAAATGATCAGAAATTTGGCCCAGTCTTGGTAAAGTAACCAGCACTGTACACAGAAAGATGTATATGGGACTACACAAACATGTGGCATAAAAATCAGGCATCATTTTTAAGCTGTTACTTGTCGTATTTATAATATGAAGGCATTTGAAGAGCCATGCTTTTCAGGGGACATTTTTACTCTGATGTTCTTATTTTTCACCTGTTCCCAGAACTCAACCTTCTCTTTAAGTACTATGCAGAGTATCCACTTACCAGTGAGATGTCATCACAGACGATACCAAACTGTTGAGCTCTTTCAGCCAGTTCCTCGTTGACCCTCTGTGATACCACTTCTCTCTGTGTGATCAGCTCTCCGGCATCAAACTGAGCCTGATAATCAACAGCAAAAGCAAAATTACACATTCAATACCTCTTAGTCAACAGCAACACATTCAAAATGTTTGTGAAGCCAGCCTAAGGCCATGTAAAATTGATTTCATGTTGATCGTCCCCGCCCGCTTCCTTTTTGGGGGCCGCCTCCTATTTTTTGTTATTTGTTATTTTTTTTTTTTTTTTTTTTTTTTTTTTTTTTTTTTTTTTTTTTTTTTTTGAAAGAAAAAAAACATGAAAAACACTGCTAAAATGGCTCTATTTCTGATTTAAAAAAAAAAAAATTGTCGGCGGCCATCTTGAAAAAAAATAGCCTCGACTGTCGGGGAAAATGTACCGAGCGGCCATTTTGAGCGGCCATTTTGAAATATCAAATATCAAATAACATGGTACACCCTCCTCCTCTTTTTCAAAAAATCCGGACGATCAACATGTAATCAATTTTACATGGCCTAATACCTTTAGTCAGAACTCTGTGACTATGTGTAGCATAATTAACTCTAAAATGTGGTAAATCAAATTTATGTACTCATGAGGCATGCTAACCGGTTATATCTGTAAAAATGTAAAGATAAACCGACTGTGGGATCATGGTGTATCCCTAATACTAACTAACCTTGTGATCGTTCACAGCTTCAATTCAGTAAGCATACATAAGCAAAATATATTGAATGTCTTGAGCGAAAACCAAAACAATTTTCATACTGCTCTAGAAGGGGAGAACACAGTACAAAACAAAGTAAGATATATATGTAGATGTATTTTGTGTTCATATTATAATCATACACAATACACATCATCATGTACTTGACAGATGAAAGCAAATAAAATATTTTCTCTAATTTCTATACAAACATCTTGGTTTCGGGTGCTAGCAAAAGTATCTCTGTTATGTAGATGTGGTCCCAGTATGGTCAAATTTGTAAGTGCATTTTTCTTTTAATCTCTTGTTCGTGCATCCATTTGCACTCCTCTGCCAGTGACACAAGATCATCAGGATTCAGGATGCTTACCACAACAGCTTTAAGAACTTCATTGGTGATGGACGGGAGTACTCTGTCATCATAGTCTTCACCGAGGTTGACGTACAGCTTAGGAAGTTCAGAAACTATCGGCCGGAACAGGATACGAAGAGTGATGTTCACATTCTGCAAGTCTACAAAACAGAGGAAAAGGGTAGATCAACAGAGATGTACAGCATAACTGTATGTTAGTATTGTTACATACCGTACACTGTATACCGTTTACATTTCAACTGCATATCATTAAGTTGAAAGAATGTCACAACAGAATTTAAAAGGAAATTAATCACTAGACTATTTTGTTCTACATGAATGTATGATTGGGGTCCCAAGCATTTTATCTTCAATTAAAAATACTAATATTGTATAATTAAGAAACTTTTTAAATACTAACTTATGCCTTGCCCATAAGTACCGGTAGGTTAAAATGACTTGTAGCTATATGTGGTTAACCATTGTTAGTGTTTGTTAACCCACTGTCATACATTTGTGGCTGGTACTTTTGAGAGGGCTTATTCGATTCTTTATCACTTATATCAGGGAAGGGGAGAAGGCTCACAAAGAAATCATATTTGTTTGATGATGATTGTTTTACCCGACTGCCCAAAAAACATGTATTGTAAGAAAACAACTGTCCATGTTCATCCGTAACAGCGCCAAATTGAAGAGTAACCTACTAGCGGACACCGAGAGGCAAATAAAAGATGTAGAACTGTATGCCTACTTCCAAGGTATGACCAACAGCTCTAAGTCCTCTCCAAGGGACTTGCATGATAATGAAGATTAATGCCTTACCAAAGGGCACGAGCACATGGACTTGGTTTTGAACCCAGGACCTCCCAGTTACAAGCCTCTACCACTGGGCCATCGTGCCTCCTCCATACTCCTCATACTAACCTTTACTACCAGTAGTGACAGGTACGTTCCTTGGTCTACTCCTGCAGTCATAGATGATGGGTCTTTGGATCAGAGGGATGAGGAAATGTGTTCCCTCTCCCATCACAATATCCTTCACTCCAGCAAATCGGTCAAAGATGACGGCTCTGTGACCAGCATCAACTGTAATATATCGGGAAAAGGCAAAATATTGAATAAAATACACATTTTAGAGAATTGTGTGGAGTTTCAAATGGAATATTAAAGGAAGACTAAAAAATCTTGATTGAAATTAAAAACTTGCAATTACTAGGCCTACAGACTTCAGCCTCAGGGTACAATTTGCACTGCCACCAAGGGCATGCTTTGTAATTGTTCCATCAAATGCATTGGTTTCCTCATTAAAATTAAAGGCGCTATCCATCGAGTTTAAACTAAGCGTCTAGACTCTTAGTAGATCTAGTCTTAGTTAGAGTCTTAACACTAAACATGATAGGACTATAGATCTAGAATCTAGGTCTAACTTGTGTCATTGTGTGACAAAATGAAGCATGCCAGTGCAGTGGTAAAAGTGCATTAGCGCTGGTTGTGACGTGACCATGGTGACTAGATTCAACTTTAAAGTTAGTCGTTATTTAATTTATTGCCATGTCAGTTAATCTCCATCATCCATGATTGGAATTTGGAGGATGAAAAACCATGAATGTTGTCTGTTGTCGTTGATCATGTTGATATACCACCAAGGCCAAGCTAATCATGCTAATACTTCATAATTCACATTGGCACCAGGCCAAGAATAAAGATGCATAGATTTTTAGATGGACGTAGCTGTAGGCCTAGACTAAAACTTAAAAGTAAAATGAATATGCTGCTGAAGTGCTGATCATCATCATGCATCAGGTATCAGAATCAGATCATCCTCGATCATGCTCATTCATGATTCAGCGAGCTCGAGTCAATAATTGAGATCAAGCTTCCTTACCATTATACAAGGCCGAGTTTGCAATACCTCCTGCGATGGCAACACCTAAGCCGAGCGTCCCAAGCCTGGAGAAAACTTGATTTAAGGCCATATTTTACTTTCTCTTGGTTCTTCTTTGGAAAGCCGAGCTGAGCTGAGCTGCGAGCTGAACAACGCAACGCGAGGAGACTCTACTCGGCGTTATCCGACGTTTTTTAGTACCCAAGTCGCTCCCGTGAAAGGCCAACTACTGATTCTTGAAGTCTCGATTCGACCTAGGCATGTGATTTATATATTTTACTGATATATGTTATGCATATACAACAATTCATAAGCTACACATGCAGTGAATCACAATATTATTAGTCGAAGCCCTCCTAGCTTAGGCCGTTAGTATGATGAAATGTACTTAAGAATGTGTTACATATGATTTGCACGTACGCTAGTTTTCGTACGTAATGCAATGCAATTGCATCACATCCATTGATCACATGTGCGTATCTACATTACACACACATGTTTTTCACTGGCCGTACGTGCAGCGCAGTGCTATTATCGTGAGATTTCGTTTCGTACGCAAGTTTGTGGCTAGCACTTGTACTCGAGGGGGAGGGGGAGGGGGTGCTTTAAAATCTTGGGTGGCTCTCGAGTATCTAGCAAATATATTTGATCCCAAAAAGTATGCCACCTTGCTAGTGTTTAATTGAGAGTTGGTCACTCTTATATACTTAAAGGTAATGCAAAGTTTTGGGGAAATTTTGAAAATTGAATGGAATATTGTAGACTCTCATATATATGCTTCCAATATGTTCAATTGGACCAAATTCACGACCACATACCAAAACTTTGTATTACCTTTAAGTTTTTATTAAACTAGTACATTTCTTGCTAAACTCTGTATAAACTATATATTTTGGGGGACATAGCGTCAATATTCAGCTATTGATATTTTGAGACGAATTAAAAAAACAATTATGGCGCTTATAAAAAGTAAACATTTATTTTTATGTTCAATATTGTTAACATGGTCGATTAGATATGACCTATGAATATTGCACCCCCCCCCCTCCCCATAGAAAAGCGAGACCATAAAATTCATCTGATTATTGTTGATGCATTTTTTTTCTATGAATTTGTTGTTCTCATTAGATACTGCTTCTCTGATTTTCTCATGTTTTATGAGGCCCCCCCCCCCCCCAAAAAAAAAAAAAAAAAAAAAATATGTAGTTTATTTAGCCTTCTTGAACCAGGCACAAATGTAGTCCATTATTAAATTCAATAGACACCAGTAGCCCCCCCCCCCCAATAAAAATCTGGCTAATAATTAACAATGTCCCCTCCTTCATTTGCGTTTTTAGTGTTTGAATATATTTATCACGACTTTCAAATTTGCAAATATAAACTTTGAAGTACCATTGTTATGAGTTGATCTACATGTTATTCCAAATAACTTAAACAAAATTTTCTCATGAAATACACTGTCAGCACCACTTTAATCCCCCAACACCAACATCCATTTCTCTCTATTTTCGATGTTTGAAATATTTAATCACAACATACAACCAACCTCAAAGTCATGACTGTTACAAACAGAACTTGAAATGCATTATGAACCAATTGGATTTTGGATTTGAATGAATTCTCACATTATAAAAGGATATACGACAAAGAACACTCGTATAAAAGCTTCTTAGAAAAACACAATTTTATTGCTTTGCAATGTACTAACACATGATGTCTACTGATCAAAAATTATTTTATAATCATTCTCGTCATAAACAGTAAACACTCCGCGACAATGAGAGACAATTAAGGCAAGGTGGTATATACATTAATAATTGCTACAAAACCTGTATAAAAGAAGAAACTATGGCACATTTGGAAAAATGACCTGTACAAATACATCTATTTCACACATATACTTTCAACTGATGGCATAATAGTTTATATGTAAAGCAAACAATTTACAAGGAAAGATTATTGATACACAAAATACACATTGAAAGACATAATTTGTTTAAAGGGAATAGGTCGGCAGCTATCATGTGTAGAAGAACAGAATTCGCTGACACCAGACAAGGTGTGCAACTCTGCACACAGCAAACTTATAGGCCAGTCAAGAAATATCCCCTCGTCTCTTTGAGTATTCAAGTGATGCAAATATCAGATAATGACTTTTTCATATGGAGAAATCAGGGCATGTGAGTTAAAGTCTCACCTCCCTGGAGAAATGTAGAGCATTACATAGAGCATGTTGGTCATAAAACTGACAGCTAATCCTGGTGATTATTAAACAACTTTAATGGGTAAACACCAGAATGGTGTTAAATTCCCCATGACAGCCCACTCTTACAAGTCATACTAAGATACTGAGTGATAGGAATGAAATACACAATAAATTATATTCATCAGACATTAATTCATGTAAGATGTAACCTTATTTCTGAAAACATATAAAATGAATAACAACATACTTGCATGAGTGTGCTTGACCTTACAACATAAGACTAAAATATAAGAGTACAGTGACTTACTTTTCAAATCATAATTTTTCTCACTGGCAGAGAGTGAGATAGAGAGAGGAGAAAAGAGCAAGCGAGAATAACCTTTAATCATCTTTCTTGAAAGTCAAAATGATTGTTCCAAGTATTTATCTAAGGTTTGAGTTGATAGTAAGCATGTGTGTTACATATCTAGGAATACATGTACATGATAATAAAAAAAAACCTTACCTTTCATAATTGTTAACATAATGCAAGGTTTGAGTTGATGGTATATAACCTTTAACTCTGAACAAAATAATGAACATAGTCCTAATCCTAAACCTAAACCTAAATTAAAACACAATTGCAACTCTAACCCTAACCCTATACATTTGACGAAATAAAACCTGGAGCAATGGTCATATGAGCAAATGTTGGATCATTTTTATACATGTATGTCACATGAAGTGTTTCTAGCAATAAATCTTATCATTATAATATTTCATAAATTGTTACCAAATAGAGAGTATTCTCCTGATTGTACTTTATTTCACAAAATTGGCATCTAATAAATATTCCCATTTGCATAACAAATATATTTAAACAACATTTATATAAAAAAACACCCGAGTATAAAATCACTGTATTTCATAATTTGTATTCAGCTACAGAATGGATTTTTAGTAAAGTATTGATATAATTGCAACTATAACCCTAACACTAGGACAGCTTTCAATATATCATAATGGCATGATAGTTGATAATGTATCTTATAATTAAATGATTCTTCATTCAGATGTATCCATGAATGACTCGGCATGTATTACAAACAAAAATGTGCACAAGTTTAGGATTAATGGCATTCAAAGGTTACTTCCATTATGTTATGAGAGCATGGTTCAATTTGAATGTAGACTATTCAACCAAACCTTGGGTTTAACATCCCTTTCATTTAAAACTAGAGTTGAGGCAAATTTGACATGAATCAAGAGAACTGGTACTGTTCAGTTGTCTAGCTGTCAAATTGAGAAACATGATAGGCTATTTCAGGAGTATCGTTGTATATATTTACAGTACTAATTCAAAACACTTTCAGCATTGAATCTGTATTTCTTTTCTTTCTACCGGGGGTATTCAACTTTTTGTAAGGAGAAATCTCAAGACATTGCTGCTTCATAGGGCCTTTCACTGAGAAATTTCTCTTTCTGGATGCAATCCCTGACCCATTCTGAGGTGACTACGTGCTGCTTCAAGGCTCGCTTCTGGCCTCGTAGACGGAACTCTCTCACTCTGCTAAGGTCACTGCAAGAAAAAAATGGTATTGAAGTTAATTAGAATTTAGAAATGGATTACATTCTTATTTATGTAGGTAAACTACAAAAGACTAGGATAAATTTCTTCAGACAAAATTGACAATTCAAATGACAAAATTAAAATTAAAACCAGCTACAGGTACATGTATGAGGACCAACATAATTTAAGCCTGAAAATAGTACAATCATATACATGTACTAGCATGTCAATCTAACCAGTAGTCTTTTAGAATTACAAGAATTACAGCTTAAAAACACAAAAATCATTCTTCAGGAAATGTAAGCCAATACCTGTATACTTGACAAGATATCAAGAGAATGAATTAATGAGGGTCTTGTCATTCTTCCTACTGCTATACAAGTTCTAATTGGAGTAAATCCCACCTTTTGTCTACGATGATGTGAGTGACCTGCCTGTCTAGCATAGGACACATGGTGGCGCCATGAAACCTCATCTCCAAGGATACCAGGTCAAGAGAGCAATCTTTGATGTGCTACAGGGAAAATAACACAAATATTAAAACAAAATTGTCAGTGTCTAAAACCTGTCTGATATTGGGAAATAAATCTCTCTCTCAGATAAGGGATATATATAATTATATTAATCCCCTTATAAGCTGTACCTTTGATAGCACATAAATTTGTAAGCCCTTTAACAGCCGTTATGCAAGCAAATATTGCCTTCTTCACATCCCTTGCAATTCAGCAATGAATAGAATATTACACAAACAACAACTTTTTCTTGGAGGATAATAATAAAAGATTGATGTTATAATGAAACACCTGGGGCCAGGGGGGCATTTCACAAAACTTGTCATCAGTGACAATTGACAGTCTTTGCTATAAGCTACTGAAATCCTTGCTTCTGATTGGTTATCAGCAGATTTGTCACTGATTTTTGTCATTTGTCATTGAAAAAAGGCTTTGTGAAACGGGCCCCTGATTGATACATCATCATGATTCTACTCACTGTGTCCTCCTCCCCAATGACAAGGCATGAATCCATATAGACACGGCACAGACGAAAGAGACCAAGGAGGGAGTCTTGAGGAAAGTAGTCCATCTCTATCTCGGCTATCTGTTCAGCAGTCATTGGCTGCTTACTCTTCTGTGAAAACAATGAACAGACATTGACATGTACAACCTTGTTTACAAAGTGTATGTAATGGTAAACTAAAGTAAAACAATTTTTTTTTTAATGCTAAAGCAAAATAAAATTATGTAACTGTATCATGCTTCTCATATCTGTATCTCATTGCAAGATAATGACAATTCTATTGTGTTTTAAGGGTATATTTGGAAATTACTGCCTTGGAACAATGTTATATTTACTACTACACATCTCAAATGAGAAAGAAAGTTTCATTATATAATGGAAAGCCAACAGTTGTAATCAAATATATTTCAGACTCCCAATCTCAAACGTCTAGATAATGAGTGTAGCATTTACATGAACCTGGAGAAAGAAAAATGGCACATTCAAATCATATCTCAAATATGGCGGAATTTAAAATCGCCCCATCAAGCTGTCTCACAAGCTCACCTTCTTCTCCACATTTGCAAAGACCTCCCTGAGTTTCTCTTCATTGACGTCCTGTGTATAGCTGTCTCCATGACAGTCATAGTCCAAGGCAAACTGAGCCGTCATCTTAGCAGAGGTGAACAGCATATGGGATGGTAACCATGGCAATAAGCGACCGGCATCCTATCAGCCAAGAGAATGCACAAGAATGAAGGATTTTATCAGTAGTTATGGTCCTGGCTGTTCCCTCAAGTATGAGGATCAATGGATATTAATTTGAGGTCATTGCTGTCATGATTCAGTATGAATGATTACGTAGATACACACTTTACCAATTATACAATTCTTGAAATATAACAAGAGAGCTTGGAATAGTATTGCATGTTACAGGTGTTTTTACGGCTGGTTCTTCAGAAGTAACTGCCCCTCCCCCCTATGTGCCTCAAGAACATTATTTCCAAAGTCCTTGCTAAAAGGCTCTATTGAGTTTCATTCATTCTAAATAATGACAAAAATAAGGGACCATTATATTTCATTCTCTAGGAGGGATTATGACATTAAGGCAGTCAGAAATGTCTCATTTGTTGATTTCATGAATGTTAACCAACTAACTACTGGATTCTCCCCTTCCAATACACTTAGTACAAGAACTATTTTTTTCTCGAAGGCAAAGGGTTAGGTGGTGTATGTGAATCTTACCAGGCTTTCAATGAGCCATGAAGTCTTCACAACGTCATATATCTTGGCACTGTAAGATATAACAAATGAAATATTTCATTAAAATAACAATTACATTGTTTCAGTGCCTGTATCTGGATGACTACCGCCTGGTCAACTATGCCAGAAGACCATTAGTTACATCCTGTAGTACTAACCCAAGACAATTATCCCTGTATGAACACCATGCCCTTCCCATAAAATCAAGCCACTGACAACCTATGCATAACCACTCCACTAGCACAACTAGCTACTCCAGAGGACAATAACACATCTCCTTGAAAACTGTACCCCTCCACCTCTGGACAATTGACTCTGGACAAGTGCATAAGGGGTAGGTTTCTAGCGATTGCAATGGACACACTGCCTTTCATGCAGGAGTTATACAAGCATACACTCTGTTCATAAAATCGATCTGAAAGAAAGAGGGCCATGATAAAACAGACTTCTATGCAAATGAGATGGCTGCTGCAGCCTCGTTCACAATTGACACAGTAAACTTTCTAAAAAAATGCACATGCATAATAAAGTGACATTAATGAAGAGCACAATATAAAATTGGTATTTCATAACACTGATAATATGCTAACGGCTTTTGTAGTGTACAATTCCTATTTCGTTCATCCCAATTAGCCATTCATAATACATGTATACATTATGTGCACTTCTAATTTTCCTGCGGCATTCTCTCAAACTCTCTCTCTCCCTCTCTCTCTCTCCCTCCCTCTCTCTCTCTCTCTCTCTACACCTCATGCACTGCATCACATAACATGTGAACAAGGCTTAATACTGAGTGATATTCACCTGAATATGTTCTTGACCTTGAGGTTAACCTTGTCCGCCAGCACACAGTATGTATCTATACCTGGGTTCTGAACCACTAAGCCTCCACACTCTACTATCTTCTTCTCTAGCTGATCCTTAGGATGGCTTGCAGGACTGTTCATGATACAGAGCTCTCGTCCCTCCAGCATTTCAGACGTCTGGAAACAAAAATGGAAAGACAGAAAAGATTCCAAACTAGGCACAATTTCTAGATCATTACTCTTCTACATCCTACTTTTTTTTTCTCTCATCCTTAAGATGGCGCAGGGAACTGTTCATGATACAGAGCTCTAGTATTTCATAGGTCTGGAAACAACAAGGAAAGGACACAAAGGATACAACATAATTACTAAATGAAGAAGGACTTTTCTATTTGAGAAGTATGTTTGTTTCATGACTATTGTATAATGCTTTTATACCTGAGAGGGCAATATGCTTTATACATGCCAAAGAGAATCTGCCATTGCATGTAAAATAATGTCTACAGGGATCTTTTCTGAATGAAAGGAAGGTATTCATATATTATACGCTCAATTTTGTTCATTGACGAAATATAGAAAACTAAAGATACTTTAAAAGAACTGCATCAAGAGAATACTGAACTTCAGTCCTGTTAAACACTGGCTCCTTTCCACAAAAGAGTAACAAACAATCTTGATATAAATCATTGCAATGCTATTACTGCAAACTCTTATAATATCTCTTTACAATGAAAACCCACATAACAACACCCCATGCCTGACCTGTTTGACATTAGAAGTGTCTGCAGCTCTGAACCTTGATGGCACAGCAACCGGAATTACTGCTCTTGATGTTGCTTTTCTTCTCTTAGTAGTCACGATCTCATCGTCATCCACGTTAACGTGTCTTCCTGTTAACTTGCCCTCTGCTTGCTACGATAGAAAAATACAATGAAACTTGTTTACAAAGACTGCTAAAGGGACACAAGAAAGCTGTCTTTATGGGAAAGAAGTCTTTTATATAAAGGTACCTGTACTACACATTTCTGTGAGAAGAAAACCTTTGCTTTATAGACAGGTGGTCGCTATGAAAGTAGGTTTGAGCAAGAAAACATGGAGTGAAAAAGGAATCAAGTTTGCATCTTACTGGAAGCGTCAAGAAGTCCTTGCAAACCATCATAATTTTGCAGGAAAACTGTTGATCCTCACCAATTTGACTGCTAGGAAAGCTCTTTTTCTTAGTGAAGCCCATCTCCATAGGTTAAGTCGACATAGTCTATCGATGGTATTTTTATGAAAGAGTGGAAAGAGTGGAGTGGAAAAAGCAAATAATTGTTGCCAATTTGATGCATTTAGACCTTTAAAAACTCTTGATTTGTTATGGGTTACCTGTCTCATGTTCTCCATCTCTTCTGTGGTCATACACTGGTGCCAGTCCTTATCGTCTCTAACCTTCTCCAGACGAGGGAATCGTAGTGTACATCCTGTCCTGTACCTGATGTGGAATGACATAAAAAGATTAGATGCACTGAAGTGAGGCACATCCAGCATAGGGAGTGGCTCCATTTGTCAGAATTCTGCAATTTTTGGACTTGGAGTGGAAAAAATAAAGGTGCAGGTCTATGTTTTAGAATAGGTGGGCATGTTAATTTGTAATACCATGCTTATTTCTATACCTTGATTTTTAATTTTCTTGTATTATTTTGGAGATAAAATCTTTTAGATCAATCCGTCAATGTGAATCATATTTTTGCTCGATGCACATTCGTATCACAAGGTCAATTTCCCTGTCATCAAACAGAAATGAGAGAAAGGCTAGTCTTGTTGAGCAATTTAATAGTCCAGATGATTTACTTTCATAAACACTTGTCATGGATGACCACCCCAGCATACATGAGCCCAGTGTTCAACAGGTTTGGCCATTTCAAGTGTAGACATTACAGCACTCTATGTGTGAACTTACACATTAGATGAGTTGATTTCGGTAGCTTTGACTTGAACTATGAAGGAATGCTGGGGCTCCACATAGAGCTCTGGTTTCTCCTACAAAAAATATATATACAGGTATGCATATCAGAAACACATAGCTTATAAGAATATATTTTTCAGATGAATCTAGTGCAAATAAGTCCATGTATGTTTACATAATAATCCATAGGCAGAATATTAATATCAAACTTCTTTGTAAGGTACTTTTCCTCTCAAATTATTTTTTACAATTTAAACTCTGAGAGGTTGATCCACAGACTTAAATCAGAACTGACTGATACATCTCTTTTATAAATCAAATTACACAAATATTACCCTAACGCTTCATATGGAAAATGACAATATGTAAACAATCACAAACCTGTCCAATGAATAATAATATTTCTGCTTATATAGTGCTTAATACATCGGCAAGTCCGAGTTTCTCAGCGCTTTACAGTCATTACCAGCGGTCATCGGATTCTGGCTTGCCCGCACACAATGTATGCACTTTCCCCACTCCCTGGGGAGCATTCCAGCAAGAGCTACTAGGCCCAAATTGCTAAGCATACTACATTGGCTGATAGATCAAAGACTTTCCCTTACCCTTGTGCACTGTAACCATCTAGGTGGGTTCTCTTTGTCATACTTCTTCCAGTGTTTGGCAAGTTTCTGGTTGAAATCTAGGAGCTCCTGTAAAGTGTATCCCGATCCGACCTAAGGAAAGTAGCAACAATGTTGATTCAGATGGATCAAATTTAAAGATAATCTTCAATACTAATGTTGGAATTGCATTACAAGAGGAAGTACAGACTTCAATTAATTCATCATTTATTAGATGGATTGTTTGAACCAGTAATGTATATAGAAATAAACAGAACTTGCTGGAAATCTCATCAACTGAAATGCACAATCTCACATGAGGCCCAATGTGACATAAAGTACTTGGGCCTCTAGCAGGATAATCCTTACCTTACAAAAGGAGTAAAAGATCTTGGGATGGTCTCCTTCCCTGCTTGGAGGAACAGCTAGTGCGCAGAGGAAATGTGAGATGAGCTGCGACCGATACTAGTAAAACAAAGCGGTAAAACAAAGAGGTAAAACAAAATACCTTGTTTTAGAGAATTCATTGGAACATTTAAAATACAATATGTTCTTGCCAATCTAAGAGTGATCAATTTTGATATACTCAAAGACAGTCGAAAGTTCTTACATACAAGACATGGGACAAGTGAAGTAGGACGAATTCCAAATTGAAAATGTAAAATAAAAAAATAAACAAATAAATCTTTTCAGATGTGACAATTACTTTATAAAAATACAAAATGAAATACTATATATGTATTTTGTCTGCCGAGAACTAGAACCATTCATGATTATCTCACAATGATTGAACACCCCTGTGACTCTTGGCAAACAATCTACAGTATGTGTTGTCTTACCCCTTTGCCAAAGTAGCCTCCGACTATAAGAAGGTCCAACTCATCCATCAGATTGTCGACATACTCGGGTTTGATCTTCAACCAACCACTACCTACAATGGGACAGAATGGAAAGACATGAAACTTTCACAAATCTGGACTATTTGTAAAGCCAACAATTGTCTGGTGTCACAATGGTCATCACAAGTATTCAAAAAGCATCTCATCCTTCCAAGTTGTACCATATAATTTACATGTTTAAGTAAAAAAAAACCTATAATTCTATTTGAAAAAGCACACAAATGAATAGCTCTTGATCAGTAATGTTTTACAGCTCCACCACGTTGTGATATATGTACTTCAACTATCATTTCATGTTCCAGGTTTTTCAATCGTCATACATTCTGTCTTTGTCTTTTGCTGTGATAACAAAAGAGTGTTAAATGTCATCAAACTTCAAAACTCATGAGCTTATTCTGAATTTAAAGATGAATGCAATCTTACTTAGACAAAAAAAAAATTATTTCAAAAGGACTAAGCCATTATTAACAACCTATTGCACTGTAATGGTAGAAAGTTACCCCAAAACAAAAATATCAAAAATAAACAACATCAGAATACAAACCTTTTCTCTTGTCAGGTCGATAAGTTGACTCTGGATGCTTAACGACGATTCCTTCTTCTCTTTTATCTATAGCCTCATTCAATGCCTCTACAACCTCTGCCCTACAAGAAAGAGAGAGAGTGAGAGAAAGAGAGGGAGTGAGAGTGAGAGAGTGAGTCGCACCTCAGTCACACCACCAAACAGACTCCGAATCAACCAACTTTTGGCCATTGGGGTATATGAAACTTCTTGTTCCGTCTGTTGTCGGACGCGTTGGTGTGACTGATGTCCTACTAAGGGCGCGTTCATGCTTGATTTTGAAGGCAGAATGAGCGATTTGTAACGCTCATTGTAAACGCTCATCGTAATCGCAGTTCCACGGTGCACTGTTCATGCTCACTTCTCCAGGCAATTCTCCTTGGGTGGCCTTCAGCTGGATTCGCAAACCTGTGTGCACATGCTACGTAGACCCACTAGAGGTCAGTGCGTTGACCCCATTTAAACGTGTTTACAAATTGTAAACGCATCTTTTTGTGAGTTTACGATCGGCGATCGTGATCACCGTTTTTTCGGTGATTCTACAAAAGTGAGCATGAACGCAATCGTGTTTTAAACTAAACGCGTAACAGATGCCTGATTCTGGCCGTCAAAATCAAGCATGAACGCGCCCTAAGCAATGTCAAATCAAAGGGAGATGCCAATCATGGAAAACTAAATGTGTGCTTCTTTAGTCTTGACAGGATAATACTCTAATCATTTTCTTTCAGAGCAGAATTGATGATACACATAGATAATAGAATCGAAATTTGAAATGAACATTTGTTTGATTCCTGCGTTTTTCCTTGATCTGCATTTGTATATTTTACTGTCTAGTTGAAATGAAATACTTCAAACACCCTAACATGCCTGTATTTCAAGACCAAATGTAATGACTTTGTAAAACAAATACCATTCGTGGATCAGAAAAATATCTTCGAGTACAAAGATTGGTCTGTATAAATCATGCTACAACTACAACTGCTCCGCAACCAATTCCTAGCATTAACCAAACTCCTGACTTCAAACCGGGACTCAACACTTCACCTAAACCTACACCATATACCCAACCTAAACATTAATTGCACCCCAGACCTTCACTGCCAAACCTCAGGTTTTAATTATAGGACAAAAGTGCAGGGCTAAATTGAAGGGTCAATACACTTCTATTTAACCTCATCCATTCAGTTTGATATGAAGAAAACAAATATTGTATTACCATAATTTTCTGTTGCAATATAGTGAGTATTAAAAAGTTTTATCTATCTTTCCTCATGTAAAGAAAAGAGAAAACAATGGGTTATGGCAGGGAACACTTTTTTTTCTTTTTATTATATTGAGACCAGGGAAGATAACAAAATAAACTTACTTTGTAGATGCATCTCTCCTCTCCACCAAGACCATTCTTCCTTCAATTACAGTGAACACTCTACAACCAAAACAGATACAAACACATTAGCCTTGACATGAAACATAATTCACATTCCAAGTAAATCAAGACTGCAAAGATGAATTAAAGTTACAGACAGAGACATATATATATATATATATATATATATATATATATGGAAGGTACCATGACTTACGGCGTGCTCACATAAGCTGTGGTAAAGTAACCATGGCGGTTTAACATACGTTTTTAAAGCATAATTAGTGGAGTGCAATTCACCTTTTTGTATTTTGTAACACAAAGATATGAGACTATTAGAAGCAGTTAATTTTTACATCCTTTTTTTAAAGCATGAATACCATTACAGTACTTTTTTTAAAGGTTTTTAATTCAAATTTTTCAAACAGAAATCTAAGGCTAAAAAAAAAATAAAGTCAGCAATTGGAACACTTTATACAAAACCTACTTTCAAAGAAACTTGATGTAACACAACCTTGGACTTACTTTGGTAAGTAGTTGAGTCTCTCCTTGAGGGGGCGGTTTGCAAGTTTGGTATTGTTCACAAGGAGTACATCAAACACAGCATAACACACCTGAACATCTAAAAACAAAGCAAAAAATAAAATATAAAGGAATAACCTCACATGAATACAAATATAAATGTCATTGAAATGGGATTGGTTCCTGTAAAGGTATCACAGCAGATTGTAGTGGCAATTGAAATCAGACTGGTATCCATAAAAGACTAACATTTGGGTAAATTTAGTCCGCTGATCTATGGAGCGCAAGGTGTAAGCCTGCATGTCTCAAAATTATCGTTTTCTTTTACTCTGTTTCTGCGTAAACAAGTTGCCATGGTAATATTCCTAATGAATTCAAAGTGACCTCGTAGCTCTGATAGCAAACAATAAAGACATTTTTTTGCAGGTGTATTTAATCACTTGATGATAATTTTATGTCCCTAAAAGATGCATTTTCAATAGTGTTGAATGTAGGAACTTGCAGGCTCAGTATAAAACCAGTTATAGGTAGGACTGCTTCGAACAATTAACTTTCGTCTTACCTTCTTCATCTCGCAGGCTTTTGATGTCAAAGTTTTCTCCCTTTGAGCTGTATTTAGAAAGAGACATAATTCTGCATTTAAGAAAACATTGAGTTCTGGTACAGGTAATTGTACTAGAGTGCTTTGTCATTAATTTTAATTCCAATTCAATTTTCATCGGAAATAGAACATATGTGGTCTGTTATACAGACAAGTGGGATTTATACATGTATACAAGTGGACGATAAAGCATGTTTCACTGTATATGCATATATTTATAAAATAGTATGTAAGACAATTATTTATTAACAAACTTGAGAATTACTTGGCTATATCAATTGCATGAAACAAAACAGAATTTAACATTGATCAATAGTTTTTTTTTAAATAATTAATAGCTTGGTATACTCACATGAAAGCTTTGGTCTCTGAATTATAGGCACACATCTCACCATCCAATATGCAGGAATGAACATCTCTGTAAAAGGAAAAGATCATATAGTCCTTAACAATTTCCATTTATCTAATAATTTCATAAGCATGTCAAAGAATTTTAGAAATGCTCATTCTAACTGCTCATGCTTTGAACTTTCCCCAACGTGTACATCCCCCCAAAATTGACCAAAGATTATGGCATAATTTCATGAAACCGTCACAAGTACAATTTGTTTGCGTTACAATTAACACACATTTAAATGGGATGTTGTCGAACTTGAACTATTGATGGTGTTTTTACAGACGTGTATCAATCAGATATGATTATTTACGTCTGGGGAACGACCTTTAAACGTCACCATCCGAAAGACGTGACTCAGTTTCGAACCTGTGTCCTCAGCTGAATCAGTTTGTAACTTTCACTTTTAGCTGGATTACAGGCGCACGCCACAACGCCTAGTCTAACGATGCCTGGTAGATAAGATTATTGGGGAATTTTGTATGTACAGGAGGGTTAGAGAATCTTCCTCTGACAGGAAAGATCAAGGGAAAGAAGGGCGCTTGGGGTGAACAGCATACATAAACGTAATGATGAGAAAGGAGTGACAGTACCAAGAAGCATGATCACTAACGTTCTTGGGATAATGCAGTGAGAGAGAGAGACAGAGAGAGAGACAGAGAGAGACAGAGAGAGAGACAGAGACAGAGACATAGAGAGACAGAGAAAATCATTTGCTCAGCTACATGTATCCAAAATAAGAAATGTCAAGACCCAGGCAAGTAACTGACCTATTGAAGCAGTTTGCAATGTATGGTGTCAAGCTCCCTTCCATTGGGCTCTTGCCAAAGGATCCAGAATAGTCATGTGACCTACAACACAAACATGAGGGATAGGACTTCCATTAAAAAAAGCATATCTAAGAACATCAGAAACATCTTTTTAAATGATTTCTTTGAAAAGAGGCTACTTCAAAGTCAAACTAATTGGTTGAGAGATATTTTTTGCATCAGAAGCCATTGACAGAAATCAATTGAACTTCATGGTGACTCTTTTTGCGACAGTTTCTGGGCCATTTTTTTTTTTTGCCCATAATACTGACCTTCTTGAGAAATACATGTACTTGTCTCCTTCTTTATGAAGCTGCATTCTCTCTCCATCTAGTTTGGTTTCAATCAGGAAACCTTTGTGCTCCATCATACGCTCAACCTAAATGTAAGACAGACAGATAAATCAATAATTAATGATAATAGCAGCAGCCATGATGCTTCTGGAAATCCAACATCATTACACAAATATTACATGCTTTGGGGGGAAAGGGTTTAATAAACCATCGGCCAGAGTAGATCTCAAAACTGTGCTATTCCTGAGATGAATCAATAATTACCGATAATAGCAGCAGCAAGCAGAAGGACCAGGTATGATGCTTTTGGCATTCCAACATTGTTACACAAATATTAAATGCATCAGGTGGAAATGGTTTAAACTATTGGCCCAAGTAGATCTCAAAACTGTGCTATGCTCGGAGATGAATCAAGAGACATCATATAGTCTCAAGAAGGCAAAGGGCCTATATTTTAACTATGATTTCAAAGGAAATAATCAATTTCTATTTGCAATGATTACAGTAATTTTCAATTCAAAACACATACCGGTAGCTCATTATTACATGGAATTTATGCACTGGAAATGAGAATGAGAGATCATAGTTTAAGATTTATATAGCGCTGGTATACAAATACAGTTTCCTAGCGCTTTACAAAACAAAAGCTATGGATATAATTTCAACAATAGAAGATCTTCATTCAGTTTTATTTTCTGCTGTTCTGAACAAACTTTTCCTGAGAATTTACATTGACAAAGTTTGCGTGGCTGTGTCTGAATAGACATTTTGCTGACCTAACAATACAGATACAGACAAGACCTGGCACCCACCCCAGTAATTTTGGCTCTTTCACCCAGCATAGGACTGAAAGGACTGAACACACTGATGGCAATCTCATTCAATCTCACACTCGGGCTAGACAGATCACTGCAAACCTACAAAAGAAGAAAACAAGATTCAAGCTTGAACGATAAACATGAAACCAGAAACAGGTTTTAATACCAGTTTTAAATGTATTTCATATTCAACAACGAACAGATTCTGTGAGCAGAATACATTTTGGAGAAAAGCTCAACTACTCCCATATGTTCAAAGGGAAAGTGTGTTGAACCTCCCCCTCCCCCAATAAACCACCTTCATGGTGTATCAAAATAAAAACACGATTCACCTTTATGTATACATGATTGATCAAACATTAATACTTTAAACATTCTATTGGAGAAGCCCTTTCTACATGTGATGTTACATTTCAAAGCGTACCAAACAACTGAAAAAACAATTTGTATATAGGTAGAACGTGTATAATTAACCTAACAAATCTTGACCTGGCGTTCTGTAGGTAAACTGTTTAGGAGTATGAAGAAAACAAAGGATGACATAAAAATATATGTATGTGCTCTATTCTATGCCAGTGGGTACACATGTGTTAAGTAGTATACAGTTCATTGGAAGTGTATTTAAACTGTAATATCTCTTTGTAGAAGAAAAATGTGAAGCCCATACAGTTTAACCACAGTATAGCAACATGGAACCCCTTACATCAAGAGCAAAACATGTTTTGGTGATCAGTACACTTTAAAAAAAAGTCTTTTAGATGTGCTTTTAGTTTACCTTTGAGAGACTGTTGGTAACATTGAACAAGTCTTCTGCATCAGGATGGAAGGTTCCAAGAATGGACTGCTGACTGAGACCAACTTTCATTTCCTGTCAAAACAAGGAATACGGAATATGAATCTGAGTTAACTTTCTCCCACCAATAAATTGGTTGTTAATAGGAAACCCCTTTTAAATATAAACTCTAATGCTTTTTATCATCAATGAAAACAGTAATCCTCTTGACTTTTATATGGAATGTTGTGGATTTGAGCAAGACATAAGTGCTCAGCGGAGCCAACTAACGACGCTACAAACAAAGCCATCATCATAATAATAGTAATAATCATAATCACTATAATCATCACAACCATCAGCATCACCACCATCACTATTATCATCATCATCATCATCATAATAATAATAGTAATAATCATAATCACTATAATCATCACAACCATCAGCATCACCACCATCACTATTATCATCATCATCATCATCATAATAATAATAGTAATAATCATAATCACTATAATCATCACAACCATCAGCATCACCACCACCACCACTATCATCATCATCATCATCATCATCATTGTCATCGTCGTTGTCGTCGTCGTCGTCATCATCATCATCATCATCTGTGTTACATCTTTGTCTCCCTCAACCCAAATTTAATAAATGTCTGAATAATTTAGTGGTTTTCTTAGAGAGTTTGGCTTTTCCTTGGAGCCTAAACAGTGTTACATTTCTTAAAGATAGATATACATACACAGCATGTTTGCATGCTATTCAGTACAAGCAGGCAATTATCATCAGCTTGAGAAGCAGCTACTTTTCACATTCAAAATGTAAAGAACTTAGTATAGTGGGTATATGTCATGTATTCACACATATCTGCCAAATAAATTGTCCTTGAAAATGAAAATACAAATGGACATATTGTACCTTCATAATCATACGTATGAACCACTTTTGTTCTATAGCGCTGGTTTTCCTGAGTAAGTTCAACAAACTTTGCTTGACCAGGTCTTTCTTCTTGGTAGCATTGTTGAGAGCGATAGAGTCAAGACTGTCATTCACATCCTTAATGGTCAAGCTGCAAGAGGAAATTATTCATTTATATCAGTCAAAAATAGTAGCTAATATCTGAGTATTTTCAAATTTCCTTTGAATACATGAGCAAGGAAAATCAAGTGACTTTTTTGTTGCTAGCCATTGTTTTAAAAATATTAAATGTGCAATGTACACTTGGTTATATACAGGGAAAAGTATATTTCTTAATTGGGTGGACACTTTAAACATATCGGAACTCCATAATTTAAACAGCTTAAAAAACCCATTCACAGGGGCTCTAAAGCTGGTACTTATTATAAACTCATCCTGTAACTTTGTGAGAAATATTAGGAAGGGTCACAATAAACTATCTCATAACACAATTATCTTTCCTCTGAGCATAGCTAGGGAAATTTCAAAATAGTAATCAATCTTCAGGCATGCAAAGACAACTAGACCTCCCCCCCCCCCCCCCCCCCCCCCCCCGCCCACCCACTAGACATCCAAAATAAAGCAATTACCTGTCTGGTTATGCTACTATATTGGGGTTGTTGTCAGGGAGAGGAAGGGAGTCGTCTCAGGGGGTAATTCCATATGGTGTAAATGTCCAAGATTCTTAGAGGAGGGGAATAAGCTCAGTTGGTAGAGCAGTGGTCTTGTAATCCGGCAACCCAGGGTTCGAAACCAAGGCGATGTGCTAGTGCCCTTTGATAAGGCATTAATCATCATTACCAGGTCCCTCGGAGTGGCATTTATGCTTTCTAATTTTTAGCAGTCAGGTAAAATAACCAGTACTACACAAAAGACTTTGCATACTTGCCTTCCTCTCTCTGGGCATCTATTACGCAGGACAAAGAAAGCAACACTAGCAAAGTCTCCAGCTTCCTGTACAAAAGATTTATCATGGTATGAATCATTCACAGGTGAGTTTGGATCTTAACCAGCCTTGCTAGGATCTCATTATTCTCTAAAACTGCCTTCATTTAAAAATCCTATTGTTTTAAATAAGAAAGTAATGAATCTTTCAAAATCATGAAAATCAGGGAATCTTTGAGACAAATTGGCAATGTGGTCAGAAATTGTGATGTCATCCCCTCACAATTCACCACTGATCTGAATGACTGAATGACCTAAAATCTCCATGCCTCTGAATGTTAATGGAATGGTACACCTACCTTATAGGGGGGTGCATGAAAGAACATGTTATCTGTGATATATGATCGAGAATTCGAGATAGGAACAAAATATATCACATACATCATCATTCTATGAAATAATTACCTGGTTTTAACCAAGTCAATTTATTCTCATTTTCCCCTCTTTTTAATGGTAATGACTCAAATACAGTTTCATAAAATAATGAACTAATGGGCAATATCTTTTCATTCCTCTTCACTTTATGATCTTTATTACGCCCCTAATGTGTAGTCTCCATAAAATTCAAACAATGCTGTTTGTATTGTTACTTAAAATTTGCAAGAGGATGCATGATGACTCAGTTGTAGAGCAGTGTCCCGGTTCAATAATCAATCAATGTTCCTTACCTGTTTAGCTGTTGGAGCCCTGTAGTTTAGAAGTTTCTTGGCATCCGTGCTTTCTTTGGCTAAACCAAAGATGTCAATATAGAATTTAGCTAGGGTGTGCTACACAGCAAAGGGAAAAGACAAGAATAGAAATCCAAAGACAATGAATTTGTTCAACTGATTAAAGAGTCTTCAAAGCTTTCTTTTCAAAATTAAATTTTTTGTTGTTGCAATGTTTGTATAAGTACATAAAGAACAGAGTTGTTTTCTTCTTCAACATGTCACTTTCAGAATTGCCAAATATTCCACCATATTCCACCATAATTGGCAAACTTTAAAAGCTCCTTTGAACATCCCCCCTTCCCTTACACTTGCATTCTACATAAAAAATAAACAAGAATATTGTTGATAAATACCTTTGTCATACAAAACAAATAATTTTGAAAAGTCTTATGAAAAAAATGGATTTGTTGTCATAAAGCATGTTTACTAAGAAATTGAATGGAAAGAAACATTTACTAGTACCTCTTTGATGCCATAAGCCATTCTCTCTCTCTCAAGTTGGGGTAACAGTAGTCGCATTGCTGGATAGAAATTATCTGTCTGTTTACAAGGAATAGAGAGTTATAAGATGAGATGTAATTGATACAGGACAAAAGTAGATAGAAATTTTTAAAAATATTGCTACCTACATATGTGTGCTGATGTTCACATCTTCTCACAAAATTTTATTTCAAATATGTTTATTTATAATAGGGTCTGTAGAGCACCAACAAAATTGAGCGTTGCCACCCCCTCCCCCCCCCCCCCCCACACACACACACACACAAACACATACAAAGTGGCTCGTAATTTCATTAAGATCTATTGTCACAATAAAAGGAGGAAAATTAGGAAATTTTTTGATTGAATGATTACAAATTATAACAAATCATCAGTCCTAACCGTGTTTGGGTTCTTGGCATGCATCGCTTTGTGGAATTCTCTCCATTTTTCTAAGAATTCCTTGAAGAGTAGTTTCTTTGCATCGCTCCCCTTCTTCTTCTGGACTCTCTCTAGGAACCCACAAAGCTGTACAAAAGGGATCTGGCTTGCAACGGTTGGCCCCTCTGGCTCTGTGCTAGCTCCTGTAGAAGTGCATGAAGTGGGTTGCTGGTCGGCACTAGCCATTGTACCTACAGAAAAAGAACAACAGTTCAATTCCCAAAATAAAAAGCATTTAGATCTAGTCCATGAAGTGGTATGTGTTTTAGTCAAAATGCTATGGAGTGCCACTTGACAAGTCTTAGTGGAAAAGTTGCATAAGTTAATGAGCAGGAAGATTGGTTACAAGGATAGAAAACAAGCTTCTACTTTGGCAGATCTGTATTTCTTAGAATTGACCACACACTAGGCTTCTGTGTGGATTAGCCGGGATTGGTCCAGGGTAGATTATACATGAGAAGAAAATAATTATCTAAAATTTGATTTTGAACTTTTTAAACCCAATATTTCAAGAAGAGTAATAGATCTAGTTGCAAAGTCTGTAAATCATGTAATCAAGCAAATGCATGTAAATGCATGTTAATCAAATCTTGCTTCCATTAATTAATGTTGGTGTTTACATAGATCTAGACCTCTAGGTGTATTTAATCCCACAAGTGCCTGCCAGACAATATGGCCCTCTGGTCAATTACCACCACAGTTCTTCTTATCCTAAATTGTCTTCCGGGAAAATCTAAAAGGGGCTCTAACTTAGACTCTGAAAGGGCCATTATCAGAAGAGGAAACAGGCATCAACACAGTAACACTAAGTACTAACAGTAGGCTAACACATCTAGATCTAGATCTACACTGCAGAGTACAATTGTACAGCATCGATTCATCATGGCAAAGAGAAAGTACGTGTGCGTGGTAGCGGCGCAGCAAATATGAATGCGTGCGTACTCTCTTCGCCATGTTGAATTAACGATACAACATGGAAGAATCGTCGGGGTAGGACAAACCCCCTTTTTCCCATCGAAGACTTCTTCAAATTATAATTTCAAATGGCCTGCGAGATGCCCAGAAGAGTCGAGCAGCCTAGTAAGTCAAAATTCTAATTACTCCCTTTGAATATTTTGAGATAATGTCGCCCAACCCGCTGTTTAAATAGTTTTTCTAAGCAGCCTCTGAGTCTGAAGCTTCCTGGAGCTGGACTCCTGGAGTTATTATACTGCCACTAATTACTGCTACTGGCGCGGCGGCCGCGTAGGCCTACTGCACTGCACTTGTCGTCTTGACTTCAGTCTTGATCGACTCGAATTAAAAATCAAAATATTGGCCATCTAACCTTAATTATCGTCGAGATATGGTGCTTATTCTTCTATAGCTTTGTTAACAGCAATGAAGTGACTGAATCAAACACATCTAGAGTCCAGACTAGAGTTATTTGATCGCGTTCGCTCACCAGGCCAGGTCCAAGGAGATAGGAGAGGAGTAAAATTAGATTCGCATGGGCGCTGCCATGTTTTCTAATTATTTATTTTTGAACGCCAGCTGGCGCTCGGCCTATGCTTGCAAAGTAAGTGTCACTCTATTTCGGAGCTTGTGACAACCAAAAAGATTCGAGTATCCGTGTTATTGAAGGTGTTTTTCAAAATGCATTTTCTAAATAACCATTTTGGGGCAGCAAAGCTTGGTTTAAGGGCACTCTTCATTCTTGTTTTATTTAGGGGACTGTTACACCCCTTCCCGATGCACAAATAGTGTCAGTATTTATACTTTTGGTAATCAATGCAACGATAGTACAACCATATAGCTCTTCCCCGTCTCAAAACTTTTCTTTCTTCTTTTCTTTCTGATGCTAATATGCTTCCCACGCCCCTCCTCATAGGCGCCGGAAGGGGGGGGGGGGGCAAAACGCCGTAAAAAATGCAGTAAAGGAGTAAAGGTGGTTTGTATTTTCAACCCAAAAGAACATAACAATCATAAAAACCGGAATTAAATCACATATGAATTTCATTCAAAGAAAAGGAAAGTTCACAGGAATTAAATTTCCTAAACATTCCGCATGCCACCTACATTTATCAATGGATGTTTATATAATAGCGATACGCACATATCGTGGAAATATTGTGAGAGGATGGGAAAGCGTGTGTGGTTTTTTTGTTATAGGGGTGAGAAGTCATGAGCCCCTGAACGCTGGCGTATTGATGGGGGGGGGGTATTTCTTATTCGATATCAGTGATTTACAAATGTTGCTGTAATGACATGATTTTCCGGTATTTTTTCTCAATTTTTGTTGTAAGTCATAAACTTTTTTTTGCGTTTGTTGGAAAATTAGAAATCCCCAAATTTACAGTCGGGCGAAAAATATGGTTTTTAAGAAGCCTTCATTTCAGGGCCTACAGAAACGGCTGGGCTCGGGGGCTCGAGCCCCCCTCAATTTTTGAAAAAGTATGTTAAAGAGAAAAAGAAAATAAGTGACCTGCCAATGTCACAAATGAGGTATAAAAATATGCTCATCTGACCGTAATTAAATGCCTAAAACCCCAGAGCTTACTGGGGCTCCGCCCCCGGACCCCTCCAAGGACCCTAAGACGGTCCCCTTGATTCTCATTTGACCGTAATTAAATACCTAAAAACTCCGAGCTACCGGGGGCTCTGCTCCCTGGACCCCACCAAGGGCCTAAGACGGACCCCTGGATGCTCATCTGACCGTAATCAAATACCTAAAACCCCTGAGCTTCCGGGGGCTCTGCCCCCTGGACCCCCACCAAGGACCCTAAGACGGTCCCCTTGATTCTCATCTGACCGTAATTAAATACCTAAAAACTCCGAGCTACCGGGGGCTCTGCCCCCTGGACCCCACCAAGGGCCTAAGACGGACCCCTGGATGCTCATCTGACCGTAATCAAATACCTAAAACCCCTGAGCTTCCGGGGGCTCTGCCCCTGGACCCCCACCAAGGACCCTAAGACGTGCCCTGGATGCTCATCTGACCGTAATTAAATACCTTAAACCCCTGAGCTTCCAAAGGCTTTGCCCCTGGACCCCCTGGACCCCCACCTTAAATAGGGCCACTGGATGCTCATCTAGGCCGTAAACCCCTTAGCTTCCGGGGGCTCTGCCCTTTGGACTCTCCGCCAATTAGTGACCTAACAGTGTCACAAATAAGGTATCTAAAGATATGCTTATCTGACCGTAATTTATTGCCCAAAAACCCTGAGCTTCCGGGGGCTCAGCCCCTTGCCCCTGCCTGGGCTTCCAAACGTTTTTGCTTATTACGCTACTGCCCCTGGAAGGTGAGCACCCTGGAACGTCCCCCCCCCCCTCAATCCCAAACTGCTTCCGGCGCGCCTGCCCCTCCTGTATAGGTAGATTCTTAAATACTGAAAGGTGCGTCTGGTTGGGAGGGGGAGATAAACTACAAGTAAAGCCCCACTGTAATCTTGAATACACATTATGCCCTCCGGCATATTCGATGAGGACTAGAGACTAATGCTACGGTCACAGAGGTACATAAGAACGATATTTTCGTACGAATCTCCCTGTTTTTCCATTGTCTTCCCGAATTTCATTTGTCTGAAAATAGTTCGTACGGCGTTCATAGCATTTGTGGCCGATGCTTAAACTAAACGGATGACCTCTGAAATGTTATTCATTAGATTGTGCTTATAATACTCATCAGGTTTTTTTTTTTTTTTTTTTTTTTTTTTGGGGGGGGGGGGGGTCTCCTTAATAAGATGTCATTTTTTGCACTGGGACCTCACAAACCATAACATTTTTGCTCGATCGCTTCGCTCGCTCGAAAATTAATATTTAGACCATCACACATAGTGTGTTGCTTAATTAGGCAGTACCTTTTACCATGTAAAGAAATGATATCGGCTGGTAGTGTAATAAACAATCATGACGATGTAGGGGTATACCAATGTCTAAAAATGGTGTAGGTTTTTTTTTTTTTTTGAGGTTTCCCTTTGTAGGTGCCCCTTTTTTCCAGAAAGTGACCTTTTTGTTGGTGCCCCCTCCTTATTTTGGAAGACGCTCCGCCGCCCCTGCATTATGCTACTTGGTGGTGATAAGGATTTTGTTCTGACCCCACAAAGTTTTTGCTCATTACGGCACTGATGTGACGTACTCATTATCAGGTAATTATTTATTGACTCAGGGGATAAGACAGGAGGGCATTGAAAGTCCAACCGTTCAGGTCCAAAATTCATGTGTTGATGCCGCAGTCACACCGACATTAGACCGAACAAAGAAATACTTAACTCGCAATGACAAACACTTTGTCGGTTATCGCCCAGTTTGAAGTCGGTCTTGTGGTGTGACCGGATGAGAATGAGGGGGATGAGCCCGTTTTTTTTTCTCGTAGAGATCAGTGGTCTGAGCCTATATTGTGTGTACTTCAATGTAACTTTATTTTACACGTACAGGAAAAACCGGAAAAACCTAGACCCTATTGTGACCATAAAGCCATAAAATTGAATGCAGTCATTCGACATTGGCCTCTAGCTAGCTGTCACCATACGGCCCACACTGATTATGCTGATTATAGCTGGTCATTCAGAAACCGTCGACAGGACTTATTTACAGCTCGTCATTCCAAGTGGAAAGGTTAAAGGTTATGATTTGTAGGTTTCTTTTCTGTTGTATAGCGTTCTGATCAGTTTGTTTGTAGTAGCGCTCAATAAGAATCAATTATTATTATTATTATTATTATTATTATTAAAAACAAAATATTTCATGAGGCCGATTGACTCCTTACAAAAGAAAAGGATCTATGCATATAAACAGGACCATCAGCTTTCGTGATTGAAGAACTATATTTCTTGTCGGAGAGTGCGTCCTATAATACTGGTATGGACCTATTGTTGCTAGTTCCTGATACCTTTGAACCAACAGTCTTCTGTGTATTTAGTCTTCCTCTATTGTTATCATCATTCGTGCTCCAGACAGTCTAACACAAGATCTGAACATTGATTAATCGTCGACTGGACTTTAGGAGATGTAGTTTGTGTAGATACATTGAAAGCCAACATGACTAATATAATCCACTTTGAAGAGAGCAATTATTCGTCTCAACAATCGGAATCCAGTGCGCCGTTAGAGGACACCACCACATCAACCGGCACATCAACAATCCATGTCGATGAGGGACTCGATATAAAGCCAGATGAGACTGGACCACGAGCATGTCTTGTGGTCGTGTCCTTGTTTCTTATTTCATTGATAGAAAGCGGCATCATCAGGGGCTTCGGCGTCCTGGTCGATGATCTCGTTCTTCAATTCGAAACTGACATCGGCATCGTTGGTCTCGTGATTGGTCTCTCCAATGGTATATCCTACATAATTGGTAAGAGTCTAGTTCATAATAGGCTTTTTATATTTTCAAATAAGAAGAGAAATATAGAAAGGTGTCATAATTCTTGTTTTTGTTTGTCGGTAATGCACTAAAAAGTCCAAATTTGCAAACGGGTAATTTTGAATGGAGGAGCGGGTGTGAAATGTTTTTTTAAATTTGTTTATATAAAATGTCGCACACTCATCCTTCTTACGAAGTCTGTATATACTCCTGCCTCCAGGCGCGGATCCACGGGCCGATTTTACCGGCCTAGGCCCCCCCCCCCCCTAGCCTCCCAAAACGGTTAAAAAATAAGACAGTAAGGTAAATTTTACCTTTAAAAAAAAAAAAATTGCCCCCGCACATTCACCGTTCGCTGGCTGGCTGATTATGAAGACTTGCTCCCCCCCCCCCCGCCTCTTGCTGCCGGCTGGATCCGCCCCTGATCATAATTTATGGGTCGTTACTGTTACACTATTATGGACAGATCGGATATAGATGTGTAAATCATTGAAATTATAACCAGTATACGATGCGAAAATGATTCATCTCCAACTTCCGGATACCAACCAAGGAATGTTTGTTGGGTCCTACGGGACGCAATTACTCACTGGTTTTACTAAAATTCGTGCGTGGGATTTCGTTATTTGGTGAGTCCAGGACTCAATAACGCAACTTTCAGCGACACTTGCTTATACATGTATATATTCCTCTACAAAACAAATCTGCCATAAAGTGAGAGGAAGAGATTATACGGTATTCGCTTGTATTATATTTTAAACAGAATTTTAATTTTCACCTATATATAAAATGTAGTTATGAAAATAAATGGTCAACATTAAATTTTTAGTCTTTAGCAAGTGTCTCATTTATTGCTTCAGACCATGAGGTACGTCATTCAACAAAAATATTGTGATCTGCCAGTGACACAAATGCGGTATCAAAATATTTGTGCTTCTCTGCATGACCGTAATTAAATGCCTAAAACCCCTGAGCTTCCGGGGGCTCCGCCCCCTGTACCGGTCCTCACACCAATTTACGCTTTGCTCGCTATACCCTCTCTCATACCTGATCGTAATACTTTAGCCCCCCACTTTGATAAACATTCCGCAGGGCCTGGGTATATAATATATACGCATACAACACTGATCTTTATGATGTCTTTAACGTGACATAGCTTCTTCTCCCCTTGGAAACGAGAAAGAAAACAATGTCATTAAAAGGGATTAAGCGACAAAATAATGATTGTGATTCAAATTGATGCAAATATTTGATTGAATAAGCACTGCCATTTACCAGAATATTCTTTGTAAACCAACTTTTACAAATCTCAGCCATGCTTACCGAGTTGAGACGTTCCATTTTGAAATGTCGTTTTTACAAAGAAGATTCTGGTGAAAAGCATTACTTTTTCAAAAAAAAAATTTGCATCAATTTGAATCACAATGATCATTTGTCGCATGATCCTTTCATTAATTAACCTTTTCTTTTTTGTTTGCAGGGGGAGAAGAAGCTATGTCACGTTAAGAAATCATAAAGATCACTTGTATTTATGCGTATATACATATGAATACAGAACAAAATGTTGATTATCAGAATGTCATTTTGGAATACCTTTATAAAAATACCCGATCTTACTGTGCCGATACCACATTGTCTTTATAGCCCGTATCAGTATTAGTATGAGCCAATATAAAGTTATTATTTTTTAAGTTCAGTATAATGTTTTTCCTCATAAATAGTTTCGCTATTTTTTAGGGTTGAGAATCTAAGAAAAGGTATCAAAATTACACAAACCCTGAACCATTGCATAATGATGGTGGTTCTCTCTCTCTCTCTCTCTATTTATTTTAATCATGCATTATCAACTACATAGAAAGCAGCAACAAACAACTTAGGATAGGTGCAAGTGAGAGTTAAAAAGAAAGTCATGTAAAAAAATGGCGCTTCACCTCTCCCTCCCCCCCCCCAAAAAAGTGTTCCACCTCTCCTGCATCCCCCCCCCCCGCTTATTCACCGCTGATTCGGTGCAAAATTTTCCCCCAAAACTGGACCCCCCCCCCCCCAAAAAAAAAAAAAAAATAAATAAATAAATAAATAAATTAAAAATGTTTGCTCTAACCCCCCCCCCCCGCTCATTTGCCGTTCACCGGCTGGCTGGTTCGCCGCTAAATATTTTTTTCAAGATTCCCCCCCCCCCCACTCTTGCCGCCGGCTGGATCCGCCCCTGCCTGCCTCTTCCTCACTCTCTCTCTCTCTCTTTCTCTCTCTTAATCTTTCTTCTTTTACCTTTAACGATAGGCTTGTCTTTTCTCTCTCCATCAAACAGCCCCATTTATTGCCCCATTCTCGAATCGGAAGACGTTTGTTCGACCGATGATGGTGATTGGAAGTATCATCATGGGCGTGGCTATCTCAATGGCCTCCCTTGCATCCAGTGTAGTTGGGTTTGCTGTTGCTATGGCTACATCAGGTGAGGCATTATCGGAGGTCTAGACTTTAACGGCTCAAAATCTAGCATATTTTTGATGATTTTTCGAATTTAATCTTAACAAGAGAGAATGATGATATTCAAAAGCTGCAGATTTGATGAGCATAATTATTCATGATGATAAATTGGAAACATAAACTTCTAAAGCTATTTTTTTCTTCCAGAACCCTCTTAAAATTACAATTATCCAGGATACTTAACAGGTATGCTTATTAAATTTCCCCTTCAACACCTATACTATGGCCCACAATATTAAGAACAAATGTTTGGGGTGACTAAAAATGTTACAGGCCTGTCTTGTTTAAGATTTATTTAAGGAGACGAAACATGATACGACTTTTTAAAAAACTTGATGAGATTATGACACATTAAAAGAAATTCAGTCCTATAGCTTTCCTGGTTCAAAAGTTCATTTTTCTCATTATTTTTTTCGTGACTTTTCTCAAAATATCTTTGGTCTGTTTCTTTCCATTCAATGTTTTTACTAAAATGATATTATCAGGATGGACTTTGATTTCAATGAGCTCCCTTGACCATGCTTGTTGATTAGTAGAAGTATGTCCTTTGGCAAGACATTGATCTACATTTACCACACTCAACCCAGGTGATGGGTACCTGTCTGGAATTAATTCTTTGAAATGCTAGAGCGCCATAATGGCAGCTCAGCTAAAGCCGGGTAATAATCTCCAAGTTTGGAAGCGCTTAGTGATTTTAATAAGCGCTATATAAAAACTGAGTATTAATATTATTATTATTACAGTAATAAATGTATTCATAGCCCAAATGTATCAGCATGGCAAACCGCTAAAATGGTAATTATTCCCATGCATACCCGTAATCTAACACGATCCGTGTTTCCATTTAATTGCAGGAGTTGGATATGCGTTCGTAATGCTACCTTCTGTGGTTATTTGCAACCGATACTTCACCAAGCACTTCGCAATGGCCTTGGGGATCATCGAAATTGGATCTTCCCTGAGCCTGGTGTTTCCTCTGGTGACCGAAAAGATACTGGAAGCTACTGGGTTGAGGGGTACGATCCTCTTGCTCGGAGGGATTTCCTTGAACATGGTTGTTTGTAGCGCTCTTCTTCGAGATCCAAGAACACTGAGAAGGAAAGGATCTCCACGCACGAAAGGGACAAGTAATTGTGCAGAGGACTCTGACAGAAACGAAGACTCGATGAGTACGTTTCATGGAAGACATAAGGAACAATGCTTAAGTACATTTAGATGTCCACAGGAAGATTCAACATTACTTCACCGAAACCAAAATACACATGCTGATGTAAGGGACTGTCAGATAAATGATTTTGATCGGGAGAATGTTAACAGCACCGTGATCACAAACCCTACAAACAGGGATGACAGTGTAAAAGATCAGGTGTTTCGTTACAAATCCCCCAAAAGTAAAAACCCAGAGCACATGGTTAGAACAGTTCTTTTAAGTCCATTCCGATGGCTATGGTGTTTCCTCGACCTCTCTCTTTGTCGAGATGAACCATTCTTGAATTGTATTTATCTCGCCACCTCCTTTTTCGCCATGGTACATACAGCTTGGTACATATTCTTTGTTCCTCATGCCCTGGCCAAAGGAATAACACTCTCACATGCTGTTCTTATCAATCTTATCGCTGGAGTTGGTGAAATAATTGGTGCTCTCTTCCAAGGTCCTGTCATAGACAGAGGCTGGATGACATCACTGGGTCTCTTCATGGTCATGTCTTTTCTAAACAGTGTCGTTTTCTTCCTTGATCCACTCTTGTCAAACGTTATGCTTCTGGCAGGAGCGGGATTCGTCAATGGCTTCTTCCTGGGAGGAACTTTAACCTTAACGTCAGTTATTCTAAAGGTAATTCCCAGGTTTTAGATAATACTATACAGGAAAAAAAACAAAGTTTAAACCTTAAAAAACAACTGTACACGTTGTACAAGGGTGAGTGAAAGACAAAAACGTGAATGCAACCAAAACGCATTGTTCCCCTTGTAATTATATCTTTCTATGTTAGATTAACCTGTAATGAGAAAGTTAATTCATAAATAAAGCCTCTTAGAAAGGTACTTACGGTACACGGTCCGAGTACAAAATCGTTGATAACAAAAAGGGTTAAAATATAATAAGTTCTTGATGCCGCCCCCTCCCCTGGCTACAAACATACTTTTTAATGATAAATTCCTTTTCATTCTAGGACACAGTATCCCAAGCTCGATTCGCAACATCTTACGGGTTGAGCAGTCTGTCCTACGGGATTGCAGGACCAATCGGTGGATTTACTGCAGGTAAAATTTTATCAATTTAGGGCTCTATTATATCGTTTCTGATTTCAGTGTGAGTTAAATATAAAGTTCTGGTAAAGACAAATAAGACGGAAGCAAACGGAAATAGACTTACAAATTTATGAAATATTAATCAAAATTACTCGACTGGGCATGTGTGGGCACTAATCTGACATATAAAATCATAATGAACGGTACTTGAACAAATTCACTTTTTTATTTCCGTGAGCCGGAAGTAATCGTAAAAGTGTCAAATTGCAGGTTTTAGGATTGTAAAATTTACTATTTTTCACAAATTAGAACTGCTATTGATTATACAATGTAAGCAAGTTTCTTGACACAATTAGGCCTTTGTGTTCATATTTTATAATCATTTCGAGTTTACCCTTGATATTTCAAATACAAAGAGAAATATTAACGATATTTCTTTGTGAGAAAATTCATTACTCAAGCTTTCCAATGATGGTGGTGGCTTCGAACCTGGGACATCAAAGGTAACAACGCACCTGTAGATTCTATTGCGTAGCCTTAAAAATCGGCAGCTGCTTGAAATAATTTGTTGCAGTTGGGACTCTAGCTCTTAAAACTCCTCGGGTACTTACCCACCTTCCTTCTATTCGATCATGTCAAATTACAAAATGATATTTCCTGCATTCTCTTTCTTTTTATCCCATATTCAGGATGGATAGCATCATTAGTTGGCTATGAAATGGCTTTTGTTTTCCTCGGAGGGTTGAGTAGTGCTATTCTATTAGCAATGATTCCTGCATATTGCCACTACGACTTCAAGCGCAACACAGATCAAAGAGATTATAGAGAAACACCTGTCTAAACTTTTCTTTCAGTGTCAAAGTTTAAGAAAACTGCAGTTTGGTTACATGCCTTGATATTGCCAATTTCAAGGCATTTGGAATAAGTTACTATTTTTTTTTCTTCTTCATGGCTATAATGACAGGAATAAGTTTTATTTTAAAGCTTCCTCTCATTATAATGAAAACAAAAACAGAATTGCATTATTATTTTTTGCGATTTCTTTTATATTGACCAATTTTAACGTTACTCAAAGAAAGAGACAATTGTTTTTTATTATCACTTCTGATTTTCATTGAATCACTTTGTAGACATAAACTGTATAGAGCACATTTTATTTGATGTATACCCTTGCTTTTGATTTGTTTTGTTTTGAATGAATGTTTATTTTTCTGATGTATACTACTGAGAGAATAAAAATGACAGGAGTAATAGTGACATATATAGGTCTACTTGGCTTTCTTTCATTGTACCATGTAGATTAACCTATGGTTATGAACATACGATAGGGAACAGGTGAATTTTACACGAATAATCGTATCAAATTCCCTATACAGTATATAAAGAAAGGAAAAACAAATTATTATGTGATAGATTTTGTCCAACCAACTTTCGGCAAAAAAGCTCGGAATTGGATAGTTTAGCTTTTAATGTTCGATAGTTAATACATACAGCACATGAGTTTCGGTCCGAAATGAAACCAATTGGCTTTTGAGAATCTAGTTGAGAAGGTGCGCATTGTGCGTGAATGAATCCGATGACCAGAATAACAATATTTGTAATGCACTTATCAAAAGAGAAAAGGACAGTTATGAGAAAAGAAATGGTGCTCGTGGCAAAGTAAAAAGGGCAATTATCAGAGGTGAAAATGGCACTTCTTGCACTTAAACAGGATCACTCAACAGAGATGAAAAAGGGCACTTGTGAGAATGAAAATGGGGAATATTGTGGAAGGAAAAGGGCAGCTATCAGATTTTAATAGGGGAATTTATTAGAACTTAAAAGGGAGATTTTGAATAGGGGTAGGGGCTTATATAAAAATTTAAAAAGGCATAATGGGCAAAAGTGAAAGAAAACACCCGGATAATCATGTCATTTCATTTAGTAGTTAATTAGAAATAAACCAGATTTGATTTTTATTTATTTATTTATTTATTTATTTATTTATTTATTTATTTATTTATTTATTTATTTCTTCTTTTTTTTTTTTTTTTGGGGGGGGGGGTCAACTGCCCCCATCATAACGCTAGTGCCCACCCCACACCTCTTCTACCACCCTTACCTCTCCTACCATTCCCCTCATACCTCTCTTATATACCATCCCCTCCTTCAACTAGCACCCTACCTTCACCACCGCACCCTCCATCTACTCCCCTTAGTACCCCCACCTCGATCTATTACCCCCATCTCTTCTACCAACCGCACCTCTTCATCCACACCCCTAATCTCTTCTATCCCCACTTCTTCTACCACATCCCACCTCTATACCACCCCTACATCTTCTACCAACGCCATCTGCCCCTCTCTACCTCCCCCTAGCTCCCCTCCCGCTTCCTCCACCCCTACCTCCACCTCTCCCCCTCCCTCCACCTCCCCCTACCCCTACCTCCACTACCCACCTATAATGAGCTGATGAGTTTATTGTTTTTTATATGCAGATACCACTTTTTGCCACATAGAGACAAAATGGATGGCTTGGTAGATTTTTTGGCGAAAAGCCGTATCCTGTAAAACTGGCTCTTATCTTGGAAATGAAAAACAATGAAATGGTGAAAATACTCAAATTACATTTCAGCTTTAATTGAAATCCAAAACAAACTCCATCACCATGAAGCAAAATATTCTGGCCCACCATACTTTTGCCAAGAGAAAATAGGTATTTTGTGTATAACCTTATAGGCTTATTAGTGTATTGATTATTTGAAGTTTTGATCGTATAGACCTGTATCTTATTTAGGCCTCTTTTGATTTAAAAAAATAAAAATAAAAACAAACAAACAATCGAAACAATTTATCATTATTTATTTGACCAATCGGAAAACATATTTTAATACATACACACAACTTTAGGGAAGTGGAGAGGAGAGAGAGAGAGAGAGAGAGAGAGAACAATACAATCTGCTGGCCAGGGTGACAAAAGCAATTAAAACTTGCTATTACTCGAAAGCATGTCACCCCCCCCCCCCCCAATGATTTCAGTATTTAAAAGTCATGCACTATATAAATAATCTCATGAACTAACTCATATAAACTAATAAGCCCACAAGTGTTTTTGCTTAATATGCAGTTGTTTTTCTCCTAATAAATAAATAAACCCTCTAAACATACAGGTACACGACGCCCCCTTGTCTATGCCAGAGTGACCTAGGTTGAGTTTATCAACCGAGAAGCGTACGGCGTAACGTAACTCGCTGGGCTGGTATAAGAAGGCATCATAGGGCCAGCGTGAGTTGGAACTGTGTGCGGATTGTGGTTTAATTTGAAATAATGTTTTGTTTTTGTTTTTTTGTAGACTTTGACTATATTAAAATGAGATTGGAAAAAGAAAGATTTTTTTTTTTTTTTTTTTACCACGACATTAAAAGAAAGAGATGCGATGAAATTGGCAACAACAATAGTCAAATTTGACTAATAGCCATTATAATACCAAACGAATAACAACAACATACCATAGAGATATATACTACTAAACACTATGGCCCGAATTCACAACGGAGGTCTGAGGACAAAGCCGGTTTGATCAGACCAAGGTTTGTACAAACCTCGGTCTGAGCTCAAACCTGGTTTATTTTCAAACCCATTCCACAAAGGAAGGTTTGTATAAACCTTGGTCTGTAATACCCAAACCGGGTGAAGCTTTTCTTCACACACCTAATCGGAGATGAAGGTAGCCCATCTTATGTGTAAAAAATGCCAATTTGATAAGTGTAAGGATCGCATTGTACACGTACAACCGCTATACTACACACACGCAATATATTCTGTATCCATCAGGCATGATCAGTGCAACGATGGCTGGCTACCAATTAAAAAATAGGCATGGTGGTCGGATATAATGAGAGTAGATGATGGAGGGGGAGGGGGGGGGGGGTAAAGCGCAGTACTTAGGGGCAAATCAAAGAATTATACTAAGACCTCACCTAATTTATGTTAGAAATTAAAACGTTATTATCTTCTTTCGAATTACAATATATCCCCGCACCATAATTAAAAGCATGTCATGCATATATATGCCTTTTCTCTGGGAAAGGGGGCATTGACTCTTTAAATGCCAAATCACAGAAACTATTCACCATTATGTCACCGTCATGTACATATTTTCTATGCATATAATTTTCCACGATCTCAACTTTTCACCACCCTAGCGTCATATGTACATTGTCAATTATGGATAAAAGTGGAATATTAACTCTTCACCACCCTACGCTAACTTTTCACCACCCTACCGTCATGTACATTGTCTATGGATAAATGGTAATATTAACTCTTCACCACCCTACGCTAACTTTTCACCACCCTTCCCGTTCCGTCATGTACATTATCTGGATAAGCTGGAATATCAACTCTTCACCACCCTACGCTAACTTTTCACCACGTACCCTAGCGTCATGTACATTGTCTATGGATAAGCTGGAATAATAACTCTTCACCACCCTACGCTAACTTTTCACCACCCTAGCGTCATGTACATTGTCTATGGATAAGCTGGAATAATAACTCTTCACCACCCTACGCTAACTTTTCACCATATAGCGCCATGTACAGTGTCTATGGATAAACTGGAATATTTAATTTTTCACCACCCTACGCTAACTTTTCACCACCCTAGCGTCATGTGCATTGTCTATGGATAAAGTGGAATATTAACTCTTCACCACCCTACGCTAACTTTTCACCACCCTACCGTCATGTACATTGTCTATGGATAACCTGGAATATTAATTTTTCACCACCCTACGCTAACGTTTCACCACCCTAGCGTCATGTGCATTGTCTATGGATAAACTGGAATATTAACTCTTCACCACCCTACGCTAACTTTTCACCACCCTAGCGCCATGTACATTGTCTATGGATAAGCTGGAATATTAACTCTTCACCACCCTACGCTAACTTTTCACCACCCTACCGTCATGTACATTGTCTATGGATAACCTGGAATATTAACTCTTCACCACCCTACGCTAACTTTTCACCACCCTACCGTCATGTACATTGTCTATGGATAAGCTGGAATATTAACTCTTCACCACCCTACGCTAACTTTTCACCACCCTATAGCGCCATGTACATTAATTGTCTATGGATAAGCTGGAATATTAACTCTTCACCACCCTACGCTAACTTTTCACCACCCTAGCGCCATGTACATTGTCTATGGATAAGCTGGAATATTAACTCTTCACCACCCTACGCTAACTTTTCACCACCCTACCGTCATGTACATTGTCTATGGATAACCTGGAATATTAATTTTTCACCACCCTACGCTAACTTTTCACCACCCTACCGTCATGTACATTGTCTATGGATAAGCTGGAATATTAACTCTTCACACACCCTACGCTAACTTTTCACCATATAGCGCCATGTACAGTGTCTATGGATAAACTGGAATATTTAATTTTTCACCACCCTACGCTAACTTTTCACCACCCTATAGCGCCATGTACATTGACTATGGATAAACTGGAATATTAATTTTTCACCATCCAATTACAATACAGTTTATTGAAGTTAAAACGGGTATTATATCCTATGTGCAGGCCAAAAATAATGACGAGGTTAAATTCCAACGTAATTTGAATGATAATAATAATTTAGAACTTCCCTCAAAACCAAAAGGTTTGAAAATGTCTTTTTGTGAGAAAATAATGATCATTAGTTGTCGAATTGAATTTAGCGAACACGCTCGCTCGTTTAATTAGTCTGATTTTTACATAATAGACAAATGTACATTAAGTACATGTAGAGAGGCGCGGATCCAGAGGGGGCGAGCAGGCCTTGCCCCCCCCCCCCCCCCGAAAAAAAAAGGAGAGAAAGAAAAGGAAAAGAAGGGAAAGGGAAAGAGGAGAAAAAGGGGGAAAAAAGAGGAAGAAGAAAAGAAAAGAGGGAAGAAGGAGATCGGGGGGGGGGCAAAAGGAATTGCCTCCCAGGCTGCTGCCCCCTCCCCCAATCAAAAAATAAAAGAAAAGGAAGGGAAGGGAAAGAAAAAAGGAAAAGATGAGATAAAGGGAAGGAAAAAAGAGGAAGAAGAAAAGAAAAGAAGGGGGATATCAGTTGCAATTTTCCCGATCGGGGGGGGGGGGGTGGAGGCAAAAGGCCCTTGCCTCTCCCCCCCCCCCCCCGTCCCCGCGTTAAAAAAAAGAGAAGGAAGGAAA